GTTCAGATGAGAATCACGTCAGCTATAACTCTTTTCCGAGAGTTACACTAGTTATGGGACACTCTGTATACTTACTGATTTTGATTCAAATTTTCTTCGTAGTTGTATTCTATGTAAAGTAACAACACGTTGACTGCCACAGTAAAGCAGTGCAAAATTTTATTAAGCAATATTTTTATTTTTAGAAAATTTCATTGAATACTTTCACAATGTTTTATGATATTCTAATTAGTTTATATGAGTATATCCGATGAGGTAAGAATACAAATTTTTAATTATACAGGTGATGGATTCATACGAAAATTTGGAAATCACCTACATACGAGGTGCGATCATTAAGTTCTGGGACTGGTCCCGTATGTGCAGATAAAGTCACGTGTTTCAAAGGCTACTATGAATCTTGAATCTCGTTCATCGTGTCAAATCAGCAACCCTTCAGCTTTAATTTCATTTTGGGAATCAAAAAGAAATAACGGGGTTCCAAATCTGATGAATACGGAGAGTGAGGAAGGACGACAATTTTCCACGTTTCTTTTTGTTTTTTTTTTTATGTCCCTCTGTTCCAATTTGGAGTCCATCGTGATTTCGCAAAGGAAAGCGTGTGTATGCTACCATAAACTTGTATAACACAGGATTCAATGAAGATATCGCTTCTAAACTTCGTGCCATACTTCTCGAAGATTGTTATTCTTATGTGCTGCGAGCGCATGTCAATCGTGTCATTCGTTTGATCACAGCAGACACAATCCCGAAACTTGATGATCGCACCTCGTACGTGAAAGTCAAAGTGTTAAAAATAATCCACAAAATAATTAATGCCAGAATAATTAATCAATTCGTAACTTGGTAATTTCCATGAAAGCGTATATCCAGAGGATTAAATTTGAATGACGTGTATCAATTTTTTCCACATACAAATAGAATGTCAGAAACATTTCAAACTGACACATGATGGATTGGTTTCGATGAGATCTTATTGTTTGATCGAAATCATTCCCTGTTTTCTTGTCAACGTCTCGTTGTTTCGCAAAACTTTTCTTTAAATATCGATTCGAGTGTCGGTAAAACCTAACATGAACTCTTGCCTCATTATCTCAGATCAAAAGTAAATATTGTCGATTAAATCAGACATTTGTCCAGTTTTATTACTGATAATGTATGTAAATCTTCATATATTATTTAAATATCGAAGATATGTAATTTTAGTTTTTAATTAAAGCAAAATTTGAAATACCCTTTTTTGTTAATAGAGTAAAGTGTACTAACTTTAACACTGAACTGATATTAATGATGTGATACTAATATGATTTTTATACAAAATATAGATTGATAAGGATTCATAAAAAACATTCCTAATACTTTTTGTATATACATTTATTTTTTAACGAGTGTTAATAAATTCGAGCTGCCGATTTATTTTCTTCAATTTGCGAAACTGATGAAAATACATTTGGTTGCGCTTTTTATTGAAAACTTCATGTTTTATAAAGTTAATACAAAATTATTATTGCATGCTACTAATATACTGCTAGTTTCAATCACTATATCAAATGTACTAATTATTTATCAAAATATAATATATTTTGTTACCAACTTTTTATAGTTAAAGATTATTACTAAAGATTAAGAAGTTAATCGTTAGTTTACTTGTAATCTAACTAATTTTAACTAACCTTTAGTTACTTAAAAATTGAATTAAATTGAATATGAATTAATTACAATTGATAACCAAGAGATTAAAATAAATTCGCTAAAACACACAACTAAAGATTAAAATAATCAAAATAGCTATTTTATTGTATTCTAGTAATTCTGCAAACCATTTTTAACGTTTTCTAATATAAAACATACACCCGCTGTAGAATTTTAGGTTAGGTTGCAAGTCATTGTATACTTTACCTTATTTGTCACCGATGATACTTCTTTTACGTTTTATTACCTAAGATTTATGTCAAAATTTTAATGAGTCATTTACGAAATATCGTGCAAGATAAAATGAAACGTTCTGTTTCACGAAAAAGCACGTTTCAATTAATTTACGACTGCCTCTACAAATGCAAATATTTTTGTGAATATTCAAATACGTTTTCAATAAATCAGGCTGTTCGATTCCTTTCAATTTTATTCGACTCTCTGTTTACCAGATTGACTAAAAGTAAAGAATGTGGAAAGAATTTTGCATATCTTCCGCATTCTAAATGCACTGAACACATTCTCTAAAACCTGCACACGATTCAGATTCGAAGTCTTATCTCACCGCTTGAAAAACATTTTTTTATTACCAAAAAGTAATAAATATTTTGTCTGTTTACTCAAAAATCGTCTACAGATACGAAAATAACGGTTTAACTGCAAAGATAAAACGCGGCAGCAAAACCGTCTGATCACCGAACACTGATATAATTCTAACGCTGGGAATATTCACACGAATAATATTTTTCTCACTATGCGAATAAAACTATAACGAGCATCACGCGTGCAATTAGAGAAAAACAGATATTCCTCTATCGTGAATATTCCACCTCCGACGAGAACGCTTACGTACCGAAAGAAACGGCACTTGCTAGGTGTAGTTGCATTAAATATTAATCGAAAAACTGAAAATTGCGATTACCGGTGTTCCGAGAGCATTTTGCAAGTATAAGTACGTTGTACATTAATTACAACAGTTTTTTGCAAACTGTAAAGCATAATTGCCGTGCAATGTTCAATAGCGATGGGAATCAGGAAGTAGCTGCTAACGGTTACTAAAAAAGGGTAGCTGTAATTAATTTCGTAGATAATTGTACACCTTGACCTTCGTTTATAGAGTACTCGTGTGTTGGATCTTCATAATTGCGTAAGATACAATGCTGTTGTCAATAATTGAATGTATTTACGGAGATTATGTATTTAATTACTTTTTGTTATTTTTATCGCCAGGTTTTTTTGTTTCTTTAGTATTAGCCTTCGTAACAGTATACTGTGATTATGAAGATTTTATGTAGTTTTAAATATTTGTATTGTATTGCAAAATTAGGAATTATCTGATTTATGTGCTCGTTAAGTGGCATGGGTATTTCCTTTGTTTTTCAACTTATTAGACACATACAATTTTCTTGTATTTATAGGTTTCATTGGTATAATTTGAGCGTAGATTAGGTTAGTTTACTTTAATGTACCTTATTGGTTCTCTTTAAAAAGAGAGCACTTGCGTGGTAATTCCTTTCATTTTGTTCGATTAGGTTAGTATAATTGTATGACCATAGTTTCGGTTGGTATAATTATTTGAGATTAGCCTAGTATAATTATATGAGTGTTGGCATAATTGTTTAAACGTAGGGTATGTTAAGCATAATCGCTTATTTTAATTAATAATATTATGTTAGGCATAATCGCTTATTTGAATTAATAATCATAAGTAAATGTATAAACTTTTGATAACTTGAATATCTTTAAAAAGTGTGCATAGTATTGATTGTCTACTATGATCAGATTATGGATTATATTTTATATATTTATTTTAGTTATTTAGTTATTATGTTTTATATTTTTTACATTTATTTTAGATGGCATACATTTAAAATAATGATTACAGTAAAGCATTATTGTAATGTATCTCAGTGAATTAAAAAGTGTATAAACTATCATATTTCGCAATTTGCAAACTTAAAGATTTAAGAATGTGGAAAATTTAAAAGTTAGGAAATTTTGAATCTGGGAACTTCAGAATTTGAAAATTTGCAATAATACAGACTTAGACATTTCAAAACAGAAAAATTTGAAAATTTAACAACTTGGGATTTTCAAATTTTGGTGATTTAGATATTTTTAAATCAATAGATGTTGAGGTTTAGAAAATAAACAAATTAGAAAATCTTGAAATTTACAAGCGGGAAAAATTGAAAAACTAGAAATTTTAAAGATAAGAAATTCTAAAATATGAAAGCTCAGGAACTTTGATATTTAGAAATTTGGTAATTTGAAAATTTAGAATTATGGACATTTAAAAATATGAAAACTTGAAGATTTGATAATTTAGAAATGTAAAAGTGTAGAGATTTGAATATTAGGAAATTTGAAAATTTAGAAACATGGGAATTTGAAAATTTTCAAGTTTAGAAATTTGCAAATTAGAACTTCAGAAATTACGAGATTTGAAAATTTTAACGTTAAAAAATTTAGAAATATAAATATCTTAGACTCTTTAATAACATAAATGTGTAAATTTCGGAATTAATGAATATCGAAATGCTTGGATGAATCAACTTAAAAAATATTTAGATTTGATATTCAGACTCGAATAATATCTGGAGGCTCGAAAACACAGAAATTTAGAAATGTATTTATTTCAAAGGTACCAAAAGAATGTGTAAATTTCAAAACTGAAGCATTCAAAAATAAAATCAGTACTTTCCTCAAGGCAACTGACATTTTACCCTAACGTACATACCAATATAGTGATGAAAACAAACGTAGTCCAATGATAAATAGCGAGCTAAACTCAGCAGCTCTTCAAATGTGATTACCAAAATATGTTTATATCCATTGACATTTACCACCACTGACGTCAATGTACCATCAAACGGCAATAACATTTACTCAAGCAATTATTCCATGATTGACACCTGCAGTTCCATTAAACAGCCTTCAAGAACTATACTTAAATGTTCGAGATACAATTTTCCACATCTTTCGATCTAGAATAATATTCTTCGACTGTTATCAACTTCTCTTTCCAATTTCCTTATCGCGATTCTGTGAGTATCACGCGTCCTCTGATATCTCCGCTTCCATTCCGAATGCATCAGCAGCGTAAATCAGAATTAATTTTTCTCGTACACGCTGCTGTCTCAGCAACAGCACGTGCAAGTGTAAAAAAAGATACACGAGATAATCAACTGCATTCAGCGAACATGTAAATGTGACAATTTTACGTATATCTTGCGAGCAAACATATTTGTGACGGGAGAGATGAGTTTCAGAAATACTCCCGCTATCTTTATGATTTCTGTTATCAGATGTAATCCCGAGTATAAAGATGTAACTCTGTGGCTCGCGGATAGATGCGTCCTCATTTTAGTCGTCCGGGAAGCGTGACGCATAACAAAGTACTAATTACCTGGTGTCCAAGTGTCGTATTAGGATATGGACGAGATCAACGGTAATTCCACAGATAATCTTTCATTCATCGTTAAGATCACACGCGATCGAAACGATTTATCGTCACTTTGTATTTATACAACCCGCAAAAGCTGTTTCGAGTTAGGAGTCATCGCTTGACCTCATCGTTTCGCATTTACTTTACGATAATTATATTTAATGAACTTCTTTCATTAAATTCTATTTCTTCTTAGTTTACTCTTCATTCATTCTGTACGAAGTTGTGCGTTGTTTTAAATTATGTGAATTGAACTTTGAACGAAATATGAATATATAAGGAATAGGTTATTAGAATTTATTGAGAAATAATGATTAGAAAATAATTGTTGGAGTAAAGATTAGAAAGTAATTGCTAGAGTAATTATTACAAAATTATTAGTAGAACAGTTGTCAGAAAATAATTACAGTAATTATTGGAAAATTATTATTAGGACAGTTGTTAGAAAATAATTATTAGAACTATTATTAGAAAGTAATTGGTAGAACTATTATTCGAAAATAATTGTTACAGTAATTATCATAACTATTAGAATGCTGTAAATAACGAACGGTTCAGAATTCAAGTACTTATTCGAAAATGGGTGACATTGAATCACAATTTGAAATAAAATTTTACTTCTAATGAAATTCATTACTGTCTACTTCTAAAGACCTGGTTTTATCTGAAATTTGTATACAAATCTTTATACGTGACTAAATAACTTTTTATTCGAAGTAAATGCAATCATCTTTTACTTTTTTTGCGGTACACTTGGAATAACAATGAAATCATTAGCATTTAATTTAAATTCAGTACTGTTCTCTGGATAAACACTATAAATTAATAGCATTGTATTAACCGAACGAATTTATGTTAACCTAACGTCACGAAATCCTCGATTCAAGGAAACAATATTTGCCCTATTGAAGAACTTGCAAATTATATCTCCATCATACGTATTGATTTTGTGATCAGTTAAAAATAGAATCGCGCGTTATTTTAATCCTCCACTCGTATTTTTACAGCACACACAGTATTTATATTCTCCAAGCTATTTTTATACGCTATTTGTCCGTAATTGCGAATTCTCGACTTTTGTAGGCAAACATTGGCCAGTTTCTATTGTAGGACATCGTCCTCTTTCGCAAATGGACGCGTTAATATTTTATCGCTCCTTTATTTCTCTACTGTCACGCAATGGGACACGTAAAAGTGACATATGTCGAGCATGTTATTACTATTGTTGAGATGGCCTACCTTCGCCATGTATGATCATTCACGCGTAACATACTTTTCTCGGTGCCGAACGAATATTTATAGACTTTTACTCGGTGCGAGCATATTTCTTTTGTACTAAAAACAAACGTTGCCGATCGATTTATATTTCTTTGTGTTTGTACATACGTTACCTCCCGTTGATTGTGCTCGTCGCTACAGAACATCGGAGTTTGTTTGAAAGTCGTTTGTAATTAACCCATGAATATTTTACGAGGAACATGAGAGTATTAAGACGAACACGAGTGGAAAACATTTGTATACAAGATGTGTTGAAACAAAAGCTTATTTTAAAAACTACGTGACCTTTTTTAATGAAGACGTTTATGTGGGAGGATAATGGGCAATGTTAATGGATAACAGTTTTTGGGTAACTTTTTTTATGTTAAAATGATATTAATACTAAATAGAGGAAATGAACATGTGTTTTTAATATTTTAATTTTGTTTTTATGTTGTTTTATACTTTAGAAAACTTTAGGCACTTAGGAACTTCAGAAATTTCAGGAATTTAAAAAATTTTTAAAACTTCAGAAACGTTAAAAATGTTATGAATATCAGAAACTGTAGTCATTTTAGAAATATGAAAATTTAAAATTTGCAAATGTTGAAATTTTCTGACCGACACATAGTACTACATAAAAGTATAAGAATTAAAATCTGTCACACTTGTTAGCTAAAATCACCTAAAACACAGAAACGTTGAGAAAATGCTTAAAATTAAAAAATTCTATGACGCTAAATAATATCTTTGATATTTTGATCCGATAATAAATGTCCAGATAGCAAAAATAAACACGTGTTTTACCGGATATTTTTTCCTCGGAACTTATTATTTATTTATTCGTGTTATTCTCGATTTCATTCTGTGCCACATTTGATGGCACCCAATGGCGAATCATTTTGTTCGACTGACCCACTTTTACAAATGGATTTCGTCTTTTTTCTATCAAAGATATGGGCACGTTAATAACCTAACGTCGTTAATATTCATCAACTTCTATTCCCTATTGCGAGTAAAAATGTATCAAAACTTCAAAGAGACAGTGCGTATTTTGTCAAAGAAATTCTAATGTCAAATGAGACGTAATTTATAGTTCGTTACATAAGTATCAGGTTTTATTTTGATACATTTTAATTGCTTTCAAATTTTAAATATTTTTTTAATTTAAATTTAATTTTTTTAATTTAAGTTTTACTTTTCGAATTTCAAAATTGTTTAAAAATTTACAGCTCCAAAATTTAGAACTAATTATGATTAGCATTAAATGTACTCTTAAATTTATTTAACTTTTTAAATTCAAAATTTGTTAAACATAAATTCAAATTTGACTTATTTTAGTTTTAACTTGAAATTTGATGATTGTAATAAAAGAAATGTAGGAAAAATCTTGTATTTACGTTTTTACTATCTATCAAATTAGAAACTGTATTCATTCACAATTTTTTACAGTACGTGTACCTTGTGACCTTGTGAACTTAATTGAGTAATTATAAAAGTCCTTTTATAATTAAAATTTCCTTTTTATTTAATACTATAATTATTATAATACTATAATACTATATCTAATACTACTATTATACTATTACTATGTTATAATACTATTAATACTGTTACAATTACTATATTTACTATTACTATACTACTACATTTAATACTATAATGTACACAATAATTTTTTTAGTTAAATTCCTAAATTCCTAAATTTTCTTAAATTTAGTTTATCGAAATTCTTGTCGAGTAATAATTCTGGGAATACCTCACACTCAGTTTCCCGCGAATTTGTCAGAGAATTCTGCAAACGTTCAGAGCCGATATAACACAAGTTCAGAGTTCTCCTTGCGTGTCATCGCGTATCTCACAGATCGATATCGTGCAGCTAGAAATAAAGTACGTGGCAATATCCTTACCGCGGTTATATATAGTGGCATTTTCTAAAACTGGCCAATGCCGTGAATAGCCGTCGTTCTACGTACGCGTACGTCAATTTAATCGAGACGGGAAAACGGTAAATTATCTACAAATAGACCTTGGCTACATTTAAAGACATATCGTATCACGAGGAGATACGAGTTTTGAAAATTACACTTCATTATACAGAAGTTTTTGAAAAATGTTTTATTAGAAAACATTATTTATGTTTACTTTCAATATGTCAGTATTTATTTAATTAGCAGCCATTATAGGGGAAAATATTTTCTTATCGTGCATTTTGAGATAACAAATCTATGAATTTGAAACTTTTAAATTTCCAAATTTTTGGATTTCTTAATTCACAAATTATTTCATTTCTAAATTCTAATAGATCTAATTATCTAATTTCCGCATTTTGGAATTTGTAGATTTCTAAGTTTCTAAATTTCTAAATTTCCAAATTTCCAAATTTCTAAATTTCCAACTTTCCAAATCTTTAAATTTCTAAGTTTCTAAATTTCTAAATTTCCAAATGACTAAATTTCTAAATTTCTAAATTTCTAAATTTCTAAATTTCTAAATTTCTAAATTTCCAAATTTCCAAATTTCCAAATTTCCAAATTTCCAAATTTCTAGATTTTTAAATATCCAATTTTTCTTACTTCTGAGCTTCTGCATTTTTACTCTCCCGAATTTCCAAATCAACAGTAAAAATGATCAATTCTCTGATGTTCTAATTCAAATATTCAAGTACCTAAATATTTTAGTTCTCAATTTTGAAATTCCTTATCTTCCAAATTTTCAAACACCCAAATTCTTAACTTATAGAAGCCTCTGAACATGCAAAATTTGTGAATGTAAAAAATTTGCATCTTCACTTTGAAACTTGATAAATTTAAGAATTTAGGAAATTTGTCAATTTAAGAACTTGAAGTTTACAAAATTATTGAATTTTTATAGTTAATCATCATATAAATTAATGACCCGACCTTCCTTGTAGATTTATCTTTAATTACAGGAAGCCTACATTTATCCTTCCAGTATTCATTTACGAAAAAGTTGAGAACCGCTATCTTAGCAACGTGTCTAACTAGTCATACCGGTCATCGATAACCTGTTCGATACTAAGTATAGCGATCAAAGTTTATTGAAAATTAATACAACATTGATCTTTCAGCAAACTGCACTAGAAGTTCTTTTCGTTTTTCGAAGACTGCAATAAAAGCATACAAAATTTCCCTGCACTTGTTTTAAAAATCGAAGGGTTACATACGTTTGCTTAATCTTACGTTAGTCAGTCAGTCAGTCAGTCAGTCAGTCAGTGGGAAAGGGTTTTTATAATAATAGTGATGTTTAATGATCAATTATATTTACAAGATTTAATTTGAAACAAGACTTTAAAAACAAATAAATAATAGATAATACTTAAATTAACTTATACAATTCTTCATTTTGACGAAAGTTAACATACACTTTGGCAAAAGCTTCTTAATAACTGTGGTAACTGGTAATAAGAAATCTAAGATCCACCATTTTTACAAATTTCGTAGAAACCAGAAAACGAAATATAATTCCGTAAACCTCTACCAGTTTGCTAAGAGTAAAAAACACAGCTTATTTCAATACTTTCACAAAGTTTTCAGTGTTAATACCCATTGCCTCTTTTTGTCATCTGTTGTTAATCATGTTACGACCGTCAACGCTTACTTTAATCACAACGACGTTCATCGTCCAGTTCCAGAAAAGCATAGCTTGCAGTTTATAATCAAAGACTCGAACCCTACTTTAAGAAAGACCGATGTTATACAGTCCCTGATCATCGAATTAGGATCACGTACGAAAATTTCACTTTTATGGCTATGACATTATGTCATGCATGGAAAGTTTGCTTAGGTCATGCAAATTATTGATAACTATATTTGCTACTTTTGCGATAATATGGAAAAGAAACCATGTTCTTTCCGAAATTCCCAAATCTTTATTTACTTAAATCCCTATATCTTCAAATCTCAGTATTCCTAAATTTCTGTATCTTTCAATTCATCAAGAAATCTTTACATCACCAAATGCCTATATCCCCAAATCCCCACATTCTCAAATTCCTACATCTTCAAGTTCCTACATCCCCAAATCCCCACATTTTCAAATTCCTACATCCCCACATTCTCAAATCTCCACATCGCCAAATCCCTACATCCCTTTAGGAGTTGGTGAGTGAATAAAAAATGTCTAAGTCTTTACTGATCAAGACGGAGCGAATCTTTATTTTAAAGGATAAGGTGCTAAGCGCGAAGGTTTGTTAAGAACTGCCCTCTGCATCCTTGATGCGTTTTCTCGACACCTCTTACATCCCTTGGTGGGGGTGTCTTCCAAACGACAAATTTGGCAATGCAGCGGGATTTCCCGGTGACCACTTACCGCTCCCCTGCACGGTCAGGGACCGCCAGGCCCGGAACCGTGGTCCCTTCGGAAATCCCCGGTTTATGATGCCGTACGTAGCTATTGAGACCGTTGACGAAAAACTACAAAACATGCCTCGAGAAAATCTAACGGTATCCTCAAAAATAGCCGTTTTGACCGTATACATCGTAAATCGTGCTGGCCTTTTGCACTTACAATGATCGCTTAAAAATCACGAAGCCAGCCGCTACAATCCCCAAGTCCCCACATTTCCACATCCCCACATCTCCAAATTCCCACATCCCCAAATTACCAAATCCCCACATTACCAAATCCACACAGCTCCAATTCCCACATTTCCTAATTCCCACATTCCCCAACTCCCACATTTCGCGATTTCACGTATCCTAATTTCCGCATATTCTAATTCCACATTCCCCAAATCCATATATCCCCAAATCCCCACATCCACACATCCCCAAATCCTTAAATCCCCAAATCTCCACATCACCAATTCTTCACATCTCTAAATACCCACATCCCCAAACCTCTACACCCCCAAATTGCTAAATTTCTAAATTCTTAAACCCTAAAATCGTTACATCCTCAAATATGTACATTCCCAGATTCCTAAATCTTGAAATTCCCAAATTTCCAAATCCTCAACTCCCTGGACCTCCAAATTGCTAAATTGCTAAATTTCCAAATACCCAAATCCTTAAAGCTCCAAGTTCCCACACCACCAAATTCTAAAATTCCCCCAAATTTTTTAAAGTAAATAATTTTGTGAATGTTCCCTTAGGATCAGTAGTATACATCCAACACTTATCAACCTTTTCCATTTTATATTATTTCTCATACCATGATTTAATTTTACCTTTAAGCGAAATATTATTTTGCCAATAATTCAACAAGAAAAAATATATTATTATCCTATTACTCAGTCTCATAACTTATTCAGTACTCCTTGAAATAATAATCTGTACTATTTATGATTCCAGCAATGTCCTTGGAGGAATCGCGGCGTTCTCAGCGTCCGTACAGGTACGGAATGGTTCTGCTTTGTATCGGGGCGCTGATAAACTGGCTGGGCCTCGCGGAGAACTATGTTGAGCCGGTACGATATGTTGGTGTTGCTTGCATAATCGCAGGAGCTCTTCTTATATGTGCCGCAATGTGCTGTTGGCTGCACGCACCGCCAAGTGCAACAATGCACACGCAACACATAAATCATCCGATCACGGCACAGGTAAGACTTCGTCGCATTTTTCCTTTTCTAAGCCGTCGACAACGGTAAATTGTCCGCCGGAGGTGTTGCAGCCCGATAACGTAGACTTGTCGGTCAATAACACAGAAATTTACCGTTCACCTGCTTTTTGCTACGTAATACCGTACGTAGCATCTTATGACGGAAAGAGTCAAATCTGTTTTGCGCGTTATTATGATACGGACATGACTAACATTTATTATAGTATAATATCGTAGATCTTGCGAATGAAATCCTGGAACCTAGCTGAAGGGGCAAAACATTAGGTCTTACTCTCTAGTTCAAACGCTAACCGGGGTGGCTACAATTGTCGTTCCTTATTTTTAATATTATATCAGGATGGTTCAAAAAGAATTTTTTGCTCTCTCACACTTTCCACAAATTTAGTATATGGTCTGAAAAAATTTTGTCGAAGTTTGAGCTCAAAAATTTTAATTTAAGAGGCTGGTCGTATATTCAGCAATATCTCCAACCAAATACAAGTCAACGCCGAACAAACTGAATTGGCTAGACCTCACCCTCTAATTCGAAAGTTAACTGCAGATTGGTCACAATTATCACTCCTTACTTTTAATAATATATCAGAATGATTTAAAAATAGTTTTCTGTTCTCTCTCACTTTCTACAAATTTAGTATGTGGTCTTGCCAAAGCTTTAGCTCAAAAATTTAATTTAAAAGGTTGATTGTATATTTAGCAACATCTCTAACCAAACTCAAGTCAACGCTAAAAAACAGAATTGGAAACTAACCTTCCTCATATAATTAACATACCTATCTACATATAACTGATTATACACTGGAACATTGGAAGCTATTGTGCTGTGTTTGAGAGAAAAAGAGAAAAGTACGAAACCGTATAATTTTCATAGATCGTTCGAATGTCACGAAATTGATCAGTGATCAACTGCATCGGTGACCTTTTTGTCGATGAAATCGAAATTGATCATGGTGAACGTGCCAAAGATTCTATGACACTAAATCTTTAATCCCGGTAGGGAAATTTAAGACGATTTGTTTGTCGTCATAGAGGAAGATGATACGGGGAATAGAGATAGTAGCCTGCAGTCTGAACAGATGTTTTCGCGGAAGCAGCAATTAATCCGTGTTTCATACGAAGAATAAAATTAGACGGAACTATTAAGCTTATCCACTACTAGGCTGCCTCGGGAAATTTGCGAAAAAAGCGATAAATAAACGTTTTCGAGAATTAACTGATTATTATACTGATCACTTGCGTCATTGGAAAACATAAAGACGCTATATTTATTTGTGAGAGTGAGTTATTAAATCGCGTGGCTCGCGTGTGCTTTATCGAGAGGTAATCTGTATTTCTAAATTCTTGTATGCTTATTACAGCCACGTATTCATATTTTTTTTTATATAAATTTTAAACTGTGCATGCTTCCTTTCAGATTCTACATCTCAATACCGTATGATCGTACATTCATATCGCAATTTTTGTATTCTTAAATCAATATATATCCTTTATTCCTACATCGTAATACTTCCAAATAACAGCTTACTTCTGTAAATTTTTTATATATTTAAATATCTATGTTTCTATTTATCTAGATTATTCCCTTTGTCTGGATTACTTAAAAATAATCCTGTCTATCTAGGTTTCTTTATATAAATATAAATCCCTAAGTTTCTACGTTCCACTTTTTATCTTTAAAAGAAATCTAACCCCAAATTTGTAGATTTTTAGATTGATAAATTAGATATTAATGATAACAGATATTAATCTAATATAATTAGATCAATTAGATCACTGTATGCCATATATCCTGAAATCGATATCCAAAAATCCTGATATACCTACATACTGATATTGTACTTAGATCCCGATATCTCTAGATTCTTACACCCCAGAGCTTGATATCACTAGATCTTAATTTTCCAATATTTCAATATTCCTCGATCCCGACATTCCAATGACTCAATATCCCTAGATATTTTTAAATGTCGATATTTCAATAACTGAATATCCCTAGATATGGATATTCCAATACCCCGATATTCTTCGATCTTAATTTCCCAATATCTCGAGCTGAGGTTCCTACACTTTGATATTTCAATATCTCTAGACCTTAATATTCCAATATCTTAATATTCCTAGATGTCAATATTCCGATACCTCGATATTCCCAAATCTTAATTTTCCAATATTACAATACTCCTCAATCCCGACATTCTAATGTCACAATATCCCTAGATTTTGGTCTTTCAATATATCGATATTTCTGAATCCCGATATTCCAATATCTGAATATCCCTAGATTTTAATACTGAAATACGTCGATATTTCAATCTACCTTAATTTTCCAATATCTATTTTAATATTCCAATATCTCGATATCCCTGAATATTGATATTTTAATATCTCAGTATGCCCCCATATAATGCGTCCATATGCCCATAATTTTTAGTCTTGGTTCCTAAAATTGAAGGCCAATGGTTAATCCTCTCCTCCGCATTTGTTCTTATCAACGGAAAAGTACGTTTCGTGCAAACACACCGTGTCTAAATATTAGTCTAATTAAGTGCCAATTAAGTCGGTAACGTGAAGATCACGTTCCCAATCACGCAACAGCTAATACCTTAACAAGTAACAGTCATCGGGAAATTAACAAAAAAAAGTAAAATCACTGAAATCATGTGATTTATCTTTTTATTGGAAACAGACATATTGCATCATGTACCTATTGACGTACATTTCGCGGATATTGCAGGAGTTGATGGATCAAGTTCCTGATTAATATCGATCATTGTTTACGATCTCCGTTCAATCTTATCACAAAGTGCACCTTTGTTCTTTTTGTGTCATTCTAACAATAAGTGCAGGTCGTATCAATATGCGGACACTGCTGTACTTTTGTACTCGTTATTGTGTACCGCAAGGGATGATTTACATACATCTTCCAAAACTTTAATTCACCATATACATATCTGCTTGTTTTACAAAAACATGAATCATTTGTTGTAGATTGAAAATGTATAGTTTCTTTTCAACTATAACATTTCAATGTGTAGTTAAGTCATAGTCATTTCAATATCTTAAATAAGCTATCACAAATTCATGTCGCATTAATGTTAGGACACTTGATGAAAAATAGAGAGTTTATATATAAAATGTAGGGTAAACAATTTTAATATTTTCTTGCAAATCCTTTTTGTTTAATGACCAGATGCAATCATTTGGATATATTAAAAATAATTTCTTTCAAATATTCTGCAGAAACGGAATGCCATTCCTTTTCCAGCCTCATTCATAATTCAAGTGTATTCTTTGATCTATTTCATCCCGTACGTTCATTTATGTCTGTGAATTGTGGAGATAAAAGTAAATTTGAGCAATTATACAACAAATATTCTTATATTATTCGAGTTCTGTACTTTGGATCATTATCAATGTCAACGAACAGTAATTCTGAAAATGCACCCTCATAAAATCACGGAACCTCTTCCATGCTTTAACACGTTCACACCGGGGCGAATATTTACGTTTCGCTTCGTGGGGCGGCGCGACATTGTTGCTCCTTCGAAGCTTCGAACGCGCTAAATACGAAATCAAAACAGTTTTGACATTGATTTTCAGAACGCACATTTCTTGCATCAAGTGTAAAGGTAGATAAACTTATCTTTTCTTCTACAGGGGCGGTTAGCACTTTTCCTTTTTGAATTTTTCACAGAGAAATCAAAGAATGTGAAATAGAAAAAAAAACGGTCAAGAAAACACACACATTTTCTATAATCGTTCAAAGGGGCTGCCAGAAAAACAAGAAAACGATGTAAAGAATGTTACAAACAATTATCGAAAATACAAGGTAGATTATATGCCGCGAAAAAAAGTAAAAAAGTAAGAACATATTGTAAAAGTTGTAAGGGCCAGCCCGCATTATGTTTAGAATGTTTTAAAAAGTTGCATGTTGATAAATAAATAATTGTTATCAATTTAAAATATTGAATGTTAATGCTTGTAATACTCAATTTTTGTTTATAATGTTGACAAAAAATAAAATAAACTTATTTTTTGATAACCCACCTGTGATGCACGTCGCCCCACGGGACATTAAGTATGACCCACCGGTCGGTCACGCCGGCGTGAACGTGTTAAAGTAAGTTCTAGATTTTTGGTTTTAAAACATCAATTACTCTCCGCTATACTACGCTTTTCCCAACCGAATCAAAAATAGAATATTTACTTTCGTGAGTGAAAATATCCTTTCATTAATCTTGAGACGTGTCAATAAATTCTTTGGCACAAATCAGTCTTTTTCTAATTTATTAATTTACCGTTTTTTCCTTGTTGTTCGTTCATTATATCCATTGTCTCGCATTATTTCATGCACCGTTTCAACAATGATTTTCTTTCCACTTTCACGATAAACCTTCTAAGGTAATTATGCAGCACTACAGTGTGGATCTTTTAACTCGTATTAATTTTTCTTCTTCCATTCGAAATTCGTGGTTGTCTCTTTTGTTTCTTAAATTCGATGCAATCTTCTTCCCTTTATTTTTTAACGATGTCTACTATACTCTTCTTCGTTACTAATAACCATGCTATTTCGTGATAACTTTATCGTTCTCTTATGCAAAACAAGAAACGCAGAACTAGCATTGTGTACGAATATTAATGTAACTGTAGCTTCGAGTGCAAAGAGTTAAAAATTAGATTCTCTGTGATAAGCTGCCGTAAAGTTTTACCTGCAATGCGACGGGAATTTGCCGGTAGCATGTATTTTTATTTTACAGTGAACAATCCGTTTTTCTGTAAAACAAATCTCGTATACAAAACCACAACCGCAATAGTCCTGTGTCTGAATATTAATGTAACTGTAGCCGTAACATTCTGCTTCGCGCCGAGATTAGCAAAAGTCGCTCCGTGGAAAGTTGTCACCTTGTTATTCTTCCATTTTTCTTTTAATCTAAAAATGTATGTAGGCGCAGTATAGAGACACGACCGAGAATAGCAACCGCTCCTCTTTTCGTAGCGTGCATGGAAATAATAGAAATTCAAAGGTCTACGGTTCGATGCATAAAAGAGGTCGCTAGCAGTTACAATGCACTTATCTATTCGCGAAAGGATATTCACCCGGAAGCATGGCATCTATATTTATCGGTAACCATTCTCTGGTACATCTTTACGTACCGTAGTCGCAATTGACACGTATGCAAGGGCAGAATATAGCTGGCTAATTTTAGTACCGATGTCGCATAGAAATCGGTACCTACAATCGTCTATTATTGTTGCCTTTGAGAAAATAGAGTAGGTATATCGTGATACGGTGGAAGCTTTGTAACTACTCTGTAGATGATTACTCTATCGATTTCGTTCTGATCTTTCTCCGCAGGCTTTTATAGACATATTGTGCGCTAGGAATAGAATACACGAATGACAGAATCCTCTGTTATTTTATTATTGAAGAAAGTTTGTTATTTTATCATTTATTTATTAGAATGGGGACTTCAAAGTGTGATGATGATCTTGTCTGGTTTGAATGAATTTGAAATTTGGACATTAACCCTTCGTGCTCGAGAGGCACTTCTCAGGCCATTCGATTTAATACAATTTGGGTTTTTTTGGCTTTGAGACTTTGGAATTTTTAACTTCGATAATTGGAAGTTTTAGTTAGGGACATTGCAATTTTAGGAATTGGGGACACTCAAATTTTAAGACTTTCAAACTTTTAATTGTTAGCATTCTTTAGATTTTGAGATTTGTGAATTGTGAAAATTTGGAAATTTGAAAAGGAATACCTTGGTAATTGGTTATCTATGGGTCTTGCAAAATCTGGAAGATATAGAGAATCTAGGGAATTTAGAAAATCTAAAAAACTCAAAAAATTTAGAAAATCTAGAGAATCCAGAAAATTGAATGAATCTAAAAAATGTGGAAAATGTAGAAAATATAGAAAATATAGAAATCTAGGAAGTGTAGAAAATGTAGAAAATCTGGAAAATCTAAAAATGTTTAAAATCGGGAAAACTTGGAAAATTTTGAAAATTGGGAAAATCTATAAAAACTAAAAAGTCTAGATAATTTATTCTAGATAACTTAGAATTTTGAAGTTATAGACAATATATGAAATCGAAGGATCTAGGAAATATAAAAAATCTAGGGAATCTACGAAATATATGGAACTGGAAACCATCAGCTCTAGAAATCTAGGGACACGAAGATAAAGAAATTTGAAGATTTTGGTGAAAAATTTTAATTGCTAAAACTGCATCTCATCTCAAAAAAAGTTTGCAAAACCATACGTTAAAAATTTCCTGTTTTTATCAAAACACATTCCTCTCAAATTAAAACAATAATACGATAATGATGATTGAATAATCATTGCAAAATATCAATTTCGTAAACTACCTAAGTTGTATCCATGATGAAATTAAAATGACGGATTTGGTCAAAGAACTAGCGGTGGATGTCATTCACATTGCGAATCAGTGGGTAGAAACTATTATGTAATTTACCAAGAAACTTTCTTAATAGTCACGACTGAGAGATTTTCAAGCTTTTTATCTCTAGTAAGTAGTTCAGTGGTTGACGCACCTTTGCGTGACTTACCAGAAGAGCACATAACCTTTGAAGCAACGATTTGATTCAAATTTAGCACATTTGTAGGAGATCCCAAAAATAATAATTCCACAAAGAGCATGGTGTACAGTTCTTTGAAATTAATTCGTGTCTGAAGTTTTATAGCCGAAATTTTATAGCTTTACTAACAAAAGAGGTTATGATTCAAATCTTCTATATTTAGAAATTCTTCTCTTTTATGTGGCAACATTTTTCAATTTACAAAATTGGACATTAGTGAGTTTCAGAGTTGTTGAAGTTGGAAAATGTGAAATTTAAGTTTACGGATTTTTGGAATTTTGGAATGTAAATAACTGAATTAGTGGATTTCAAATTTTCGAATTTTCAAATTTTTAAATTTCCAAATTTCCATATTCCCAAATTTCCAAATTTCTAAATTTCTAAATTCCCAAATTCCCAAATTCCCAAATTCCCAAATTCCCAAATTCCCAAATTCCCAAATTCCTAAATTCCCAAATTCCTAAATCCCAAATCCCCAAATTCTCAAATTTCCAAATTCCGAAATTCTCAAATTCCCAAATTCCCAAATTCCCAAATTCCCAAATTTCCAAACTTCCAACTTTCTAAATTTCCAAAATTCTCAAAATTCCCAAAATTCCCAAAATTCTCAAATATTCAAATTTCCAAGTTACTAATCTTCTAACTTACTTAATCACCAAGCTTTCAAAAAACTAAATTTCCGAGTCCTCGCGGATACAGAATTTTAAGTACCCCACTAATTAACTAGAAATCAAAAGCAATTACATGTAAATTTTTCTGATATTTTAACAAGATACACGTTCTAATTTCACAAAATTAATATTCATAGTGCCTCCCATAATTATGCCAAGTTTAGACCAGATCGGTGTTGCGAAAGTTGTATTCCCCTCAATAGATATAGTCAGGTACAAAGTTACCAAGAGCAGGAACAGTTCGCCGGATATCTATAGACGACCTGCGATATATATAGAAGATTAACCATTTCGGGGTTAATATTCTTGCTGTCGGCCATAATGTGGTGATAAAGTAGCGCGATAAAAGTGCGCACGCAAAAGGTCACATTTTAACACGTTGATCACCGCACTGAAAACTGGCTTTCGTGCTCAAACATGCTATAATACTGATTATTTATAACAATGGCCCTTAATCTCTTAATTTCATCATTTAATCTTTTAGTATATGTCGTTGTCCGAATATTAAGAGCTCACAAATGATTTCTTATTTGTCTTTTAGGGAAATGATTAATTTAATTGAATTTGTAGGGGCGGTCACATATGATCACGGTGGTGTTTAACATATATTCGCTTTACAAGAAATATGATTCTAGTAAATAATATTCGGTACAGAGAAAATATTTTCGTATTACATATACAATTATATGCATATAAATTGTACGATATACATTTTGATATGAATCTGTTTTACAAGGAATAATTTTAAAATTCTAGAGAATATTAGTCAGAGAGAAAACACTTTTGTACTATACATACAATTATACATAACTGTATAAAAACTGTCATATACGTTTGAATATAAATCTGTTTCACGAGAAACATTTTCCGAATGGTTCCAGAAAACGATAACAAAATGAAAATACTTTTATATTGCATATACAATTATAAAAATATTGTGACATACACTTTATCATATTGACCATAATACTGGAAATTGACATCCGTGATCAAATATGCGATAATACAGATTACTAAAAACATATGAACTTAATTTTCTAATTTTATTTTTTGACGTGTAACTGTATACCATTGTCTCAACACTAAAATGTATATCATTGTCTCAAAAATTCTTTTCATTTGCTTTTCCTATAAATGATTTAATTGAATCTGTAGCGATAGTCACGTATGATTACCATGGTGATCAGCTAACCCTTTGGGGTGAGATATATTTTAACCCATTTAAATTTTCGTTAAAAGTTCTTTAATAAAATAAATTCCTTTATTTTTATGTTATTCATAAAATAAACAGTTGTTTCGTTTTTTACATCAGAAATATTTTTGTGCAACTTTGAAAATCGCACGCTTCAAAAGGTTAAATTGAAAGAAAAGTCGATTGCCTCGGAATCACTGAAATCCCGGGGAACCTTGTTCCTCGATCTTTATGTTTCTCTGGTAGTTCCTACTTCGTATCCGATGATTCAGACGGTAATTCTACTGGTTGCAGATCGACGATCCGATTCACGTAATCTCCATTGAGGAACCATCTAGTGGATCCAGACAGAAGCCACCGGACTATGAGGCCGTTACGGACGCGCCACCTAGCTACGATGACGCCATCAAGCTGAATCCTAGTCACCTACTTAGGCTAAACAACAACAGTGCCACGTTGTCGTTGCCGACTGTGCACAACATGGTACCTAGAACTGTGGAAATTGTCTCTAGGGACCCGACACCCTCACCGCCCCCACCTTACGCGAGGTAACGTTCTTTTCATTCATATTGTGCAGCTAGTCAGTTTGAAATTTAGTTATAGAAATATTAAGTTATTCGAAACTATATTTAAGGTGAAGTGGAGTAAGTTCGTAAACGGAGCAAGTGCGTATATAGGCTATTTTTATTACGATATGAGTAAAATTTCTTCATTTAGTATGTTTGTTTCCTTGTTTTCTTTCACTACTTTCTTTCTATATACATTTTGATATGAATCTGTTTTACAAGGAATAATTTTAAAATTCTAGAGAATATTAGTCAGAGAGAAAACACTTTTGTACTATACATACAATTATACATAACTGTATAAAAACTGTCATATACGTTTGAATATAAATCTGTTTCACGAGAAACATTTTCCGAATGGTTCCAGAAAACGATAACAAAATGAAAATACTTTTATATTGCATATACAATTATAAAAATATTGTGACATACACTTTATCATATTGACCATAATACTGGAAATTGACATCCGTGATCAAATATGCGATAATACAGATTACTAAAAACATATGAACTTAATTTTCTAATTTTATTTTTTGACGTGTAACTGTATACCATTGTCTCAACACTAAAATGTATATCATTGTCTCAAAAATTCTTTTCATTTGCTTTTCCTATAAATGATTTAATTGAATCTGTAGCGATAGTCACGTATGATTACCATGGTGATCAGCTAACCCTTTGGGGTGAGATATATTTTAACCCATTTAAATTTTCGTTAAAAGTTCTTTAATAAAATAAATTCCTTTATTTTTATGTTATTCATAAAATAAACAGTTGTTTCGTTTTTTACATCAGAAATATTTTTGTGCAACTTTGAAAATCGCACGCTTCAAAAGGTTAAATTGAAAGAAAAGTCGATTGCCTCGGAATCACTGAAATCCCGGGGAACCTTGTTCCTCGATCTTTATGTTTCTCTGGTAGTTCCTACTTCGTATCCGATGATTCAGACGGTAATTCTACTGGTTGCAGATCGACGATCCGATTCACGTAATCTCCATTGAGGAACCATCTAGTGGATCCAGACAGAAGCCACCGGACTATGAGGCCGTTACGGACGCGCCACCTAGCTACGATGACGCCATCAAGCTGAATCCTAGTCACCTACTTAGGCTAAACAACAACAGTGCCACGTTGTCGTTGCCGACTGTGCACAACATGGTACCTAGAACTGTGGAAATTGTCTCTAGGGACCCGACACCCTCACCGCCCCCACCTTACGCGAGGTAACGTTCTTTTCATTCATATTGTGCAGCTAGTCAGTTTGAAATTTAGTTATAGAAATATTAAGTTATTCGAAACTATATTTAAGGTGAAGTGGAGTAAGTTCGTAAACGGAGCAAGTGCGTATATAGGCTATTTTTATTACGATATGAGTAAAATTTCTTCATTTAGTATGTTTGTTTCCTTGTTTTCTTTCACTACTTTCTTTCTTTCACTACTAGGGGACTTTCTGTCCCCTTTTATATTTCAGCTAAGAGTACTTGTTTGCAGTATAGAGTACTTGCATAATGCAGTAAAAAGCATTTTATAGCAGATTTGTTAATAATTCTGCTCTTGCTCCATTGCACATGAAATAAAGTTTCAAAGTATTTAGCTTCAAGTTACGCTCTTACCCCATTTTCGGGGAAAATGCAGAATAGTTGACATTTTAAACAATTTCCTATCAAAATCAAAATGTACAAGGAAAATTAAGGTCTTAGTTAATATTAATTAAATAGTAGTAATTGTGCAAAACGTTCGATATCGACAGCGTTAAGTATTTACATAGCAGACTGAAAATACTGACGTTTAAATACCAACTTTACAAAAACTAGTCTGCACTTACTCCACTTCACCTTAGCTTATATTTAGTTATAAATTTAGTTATAGAAATCCTTCAAGAGTAATTAACCATAATTTTACGGACGTCTAATGACCACTAAATTCTAAACCTATCAAAGTATAATGCACACTTATTAAGAAATTAATTCTTTATCTAAATGAAAATCAGTGCAGGTTTCAAGAAAACTATACCAAAAAATATTATTAATTACTTTACTAGTAAAACAATGGTCATTTCAACGCTTTGTGTTGAATTGAAACTGAATTATAATAATAACTAAATAAAGGATAATACTTCAGTTACCTTATACAATGATTCTATACCTTGATGATAGTTAACATATTTTTTGACAAAAATTTTTAATAATTTTTGCATACTTCAGCTACCTTATACAATGAGTTTTTACTTTGATGGCAATTAACATATTTTTTTGACAAATGCTTTTTAATAATTCTTGCAACTGAAAATAAGAAATATAAATTTTGTACTAGAAGTAAGTCTTGCATTGATAGTACCTGTTGAACGTAGTTAATTGCTTTAGAGGAAATCCGAAATTTGCCAAGAAGGAATGAATAAAAATACTTATGTCCATGAATGTATGTGAATGTGCTACTTATATATTGCATAAATTATTTAATTTGAATATTTGGGAATTTAAATAATACAAATGTGAAAATATCACAACTTGAAATTTAAATAATTTGAAAGTTTCAAAGTTAAAAACTGTAGACCTGTAATCTTCAAACTTGAAAATAATTTGAAAATTAGAGGATTTAAAAATTGCAAGGTTTGAAAATTCCTCAAAATTTAGTAAATTTGAAATATAAAAACTTGAAAATTTTTTAATCTAAGCATTTGACGTTTCGTAAATAACAAAGTTTAAAAATTTCACGATTTAAAATGTAAAATATTAACAAATTTCACGATTTAAAATGTACAATATTAAAAAATTTCACGATTTAAAATGTAAAAATATTAAAAAATTTAAATGATTAAATACTTAGAAATTGGAAAATATAACAATTTTAAATTCAGGACACGTTTCGATTAGGTAATTCTTCTTCGAAGAAAGTCTGCGTAATACCTCAGTGTACTCCGCAATGAATGAAATCTTGATCGTCACAGTGACGTAGAGTAATTCTCCGTAAAATAAGTATCTATAAAAAGAAAGGTGTTCGACTTTGCGGTTTTGAATTGTTCGTGAGAAACGCTTGACCTGACCGAGATACGTCAGTTTAAAGAGTAGGTGTAATGGAGATAGGCAATGGTGATACGTAGGAGAAACTGTGACGTGATTCATGCTATGCGGTATCACGTCACAGTTTATTTTATAGCAGTCGATGACGTCAAGCGATGCTATAGATTCTTATCCGAAGTGAGAGTTTAGAGTTTAAATTTTATTAACACTTCGTTGCATCCTGATGCAAATATACTGACATAGATATTCTTGTATTTTATTTAACATAAATCAATTGAAAATTTTGTACCTAATGAAATTATTGGAAATATTTGTTTTTGTAATTGGTAATTATTTTGTATATAATAAATTTAAATGTTATACTAATGACAATAATAATATTTATTAATATACTTAACTTATTTAAATCAGTTGAATAAGTTTTAAACCTATAATAAGTACAATATTTAATATATTGTAATATAAATGCTTACATTTCCAAATGACCAATTTTTGAAATTTTTAATTTTCCAAAACTGAATTACTGAAACTCCATTTTTGCAAATTATCAAACTTCAATATTTCTATATTCACAAATTTGGAAGTTTATAAATTTGTTAATCTTTAAATTTGAAAACTTGTTCTAAATTCATAAAATTCATAAATTAAAATCTTTCACTTATATCAATTTTGTGTTACACTACTCGTATTTTCACGAAACAGTATACTACTATTATTTCCAAACTAACGAGAATATTATCACTAAAAATGAATGCACAAAATGAATCAAACAGTACTTCAAATTTAACTATAGTGCAATATTTGAATAAACTTTATTTTTCTTGCAAAACATACGCAGTTTGAAAGCCATGAAATAAGAACAAGAAGTTTCTTAAATCCCTAATTTATATCTAATTTCTACAATTAATATATGCGTGAATGAAATAATTTTTCTTTTTGTTTCAGGTGAAATCTTCGGTATTATCAGTCATGATCGCAACAAAAGAAGTTCGCGGCAGCTGTGTATCCAGCGTATTGCAACAATAATTAAAAACCAAACAAGTACAAAAACATGAGGGGGTGGAATGACTGTGCCGTTCTTTCCAGTTGCCGTAATATGGCAAACGATGGAAACGAACACAAGGATCACGACAGACTAAAAACATTTGTGTTCAAAGAATCGAACTGAACCAAAACGGGACTCTTTTGTCGCCGAATATACATATCCAATCGCAGATCGAATCGAAAACTACGCAGCTAGATCCTAACGAAGGATTCTGAGCTTAGCAGACAACGAATTTCATGAGAAATTGAAGATGGCGGCTAAAGGAAGCAAGATGGTGACTGAAGGAAAGGAGATGAACACTGGTGCCTTCTACGATGCACCTCGTTAGCCTAACAGGGAAATACTCACGATAAGGAGTTCCAGAACTGTCGAAATTTGAGCTTCTCGATAAACCCGTATGGCACACGATTATCGATTTCGTCTGGCTAATTTAGAGCGAGTCTAAAATAGCAAACACGAGTCATCGATAAACGAACACACGATGTGTATTATTTTGCCTTTATATGTATTTATACGCGATCTAAGTGCGTTCCTTACGAGTACACGAAGAACTTAATGGAAAAGAGGAAGATGGAGGATGAAGGAGAAGATGGAGACCTAAGAATCGGAATATCTTCGGATGAATTGAGTTTCATCGCTTAGAAAATCGCGCAGCTTGTTAGAAGAGATACCTTTGTTTGCCATATGATTTCGATGATTGTCATTTTTACACGTGTACATACCGCATGCGAAATTCATTCGCACGTCCATTTTATTGTGATATACGATGATGCAGGTATTATATTGATACGTCACCGTCGAATACGTCGTCGCTTTCTGAAACAAGACTTTTTTTTATAATGAGAATAAAGATACGATGATAGGCATCTTTTAAACTCGACTGTTTTTTTTTAACCCTACACCTTTCATTAGAATCCTTTCATCCCTTACTTTTTCATTAGGATAACGATTTTGATAAAATTATCATGAAATTGAATAAGTAATAATTAGGGTGCCAGAATGTGGTCTCAATGCTCTGAAGTTTGTAAAAAGTCACTGTTATTTCAGACAAATTTGAATATCATGAAGCTTAATACTTCTTTCTAACTTCAAATTAATCGGCGAATTGGTTAATAAAGGAACTCAACAATCAAATTGTTTGAAAGTGAATAACTTTTTGGAAAACAAGTAGGAGGAAATGAAAAGCCCAGACTTTATGTATTTATTTTTTGTTATTATAAAATAAATAAATGTAATAATTTATAATTATATTGTATAGAGTATTGTATAGACAAAGAAAATTTCTAGTAAGAAATGTTTAATTGTTACATTGTAATTGTGTTGCTTGTGAGGGTTAAATTCATTGCAATATAAAGTTAAAAAAATGCAACAAGGGGTGAAAAGAAAGTCTAAAATTTTTCTAAAATATGTTTCTGTCAAAAAATTTAGTTTTGAATCAATACTACTGAAAGATTAGAGCTAATACTTGTAAAAATAAGTCAAAACACATATGTAACTAAGCTGTCACAGTGCAGATGGCAAAAATAAAAGAAAAATGAGGGGGGAGGGATGGGGAAGAACGTTTCGTCCAGGACCTGCTAGTGAACTCGTCAGTAAGGCATTCTAGCAGGTCCCTGCCTTAGACGCGGGGATATTTGGTATGGGTTTTAGGTGGTCCATCATGTTTCCCCGTTGGCGTCAAACTCTCAATGTTGCATGGCAATTTCTGTAATGAAAGAAGCAGAAAGTCCTCCATAATGCGGCGCGTTCGCTCCTTTGCTGTCCTAATCCTTCGAGAAATATGGGGGCGAGGCGCGTGCTCTCAAGCCGTCGTTTATATGGACGCACAGCACAAAGTCCGAACAACTTTAAAGCCGTCTCCATCCTCGATCCTAGGATGGGCGACGTTAAAACGTGCACAACTGTATAAGCTCGGCGAATCCCCGATCGAGAGTTATGGGCCCGGACGTCGATCGATCGTGGGGAGGGCGGCGCAGCAAATCCGAGAAAGTTGTCTTCTTAACCGTTGCCGTCGAATGTGCCATCCAGGAGCGAGAAGAGATATTATGAAGAATGTGCCCCTTGGTTCCTTCCTGCCATGAGATGATGATATTATGATGATTGGTGATGATTAGACTTGCTTGATATGATGATTCTTCGGATCCTTTGGTTGTTTTTTGTTCATCATCTTCTCCTTCCTCGTAATTTGGCTGCTGGTCATCAGAAGTTGCGTGTTCGTCGGCCGGTCACCAGTGGCGGTTGCAGAGACGTAGTGGTGGTGAGGCCTGAGAAAATTAGGGAGAGGAAGGGGAGAGAGCGTTTCGTCCGGGACCTGCTAGTGGACTCGTCAGTAAGGCATTCTAGCAGGTCCTTGCCTTAGACGCTGGGATACCTGGTAGGGATAAACAGGGAACTTTTATAGGAATAAGAAGGTCCTTCGAGCACTAGCGAGAAAAAGGGTCTTAATTTTGTGCGCCGTCTAGTGGAGAGAAGCATAGTAGTGAATCGCAAAAATATTATAAAACGTACTAATTACAATATAAAGGATATTTATTTATTAAAAATAAATACCCTGACCACTCACATATGTATACAAATATACAAGACCAACAGTGTTAGATACGACTTTTTTGTCGGATAATCAAATTTTCTTAAAATGGGCCGGAAGCTCTAAAAAAAATGGTCAAAAATAGTTTGAAAGGTGGCTAATGAGGCTAATAGTCTAGTCTAGGCCCTAGACTCTAGGGGGTGGAGAGCCTTCAACAAGCGGAAGCGAGTATATCAGTAAGTACATGTATGCGGAATCTCATGTAATAGCACATAAATGACTTCGGAATGTTTTTTAACCTTAACAAACAATTATCAACGTTAAGCAATTTTTATACTAATTAAAGTTTCCTAATTAAGCCTTTTAACCCTTTCGCTACGGTGATTTTTTCTGAGAAATGTGATTATGGTCTTATTTATTATAATAAAAAGTCAGATTTTCTTATTTATAAAAAGCATAGCTAAAGCCTTTCTATACAGTTTTTTATCCTTCCTTTATGTACAAAGGATAATACAAATGACAAATGTTATAAGACGCCGTCATAACTCTTTTTTATAAAAACTTTTTAATCGCTAGGAAAAAACTCTGTTGGTATAAAAGTGGGCGCCTATAGGTGCTCTCAGTAATACAAACACAAAATTTCTAAGCGCCTATAGGCGCCCACAGTGGCCAAGGAGTTAATGAGACTGTGGCGTGAATTTAAATAAACAATTTTATTTTTATAATGTTATCTTCTTTTAATTATTTACAATGATTGCAATCGTTGTACATGGTTTAATTAATTTTTTAACATACAAAGTTTAAACTTTAATTTCTAACTTCAAAGTATCTAATTAATGAAAATGTTTCTCCTACAATTATTATTGTCTCTAACTGATTATTTATAAAAAGATCATATTTTACAATAAAAAATTTAGCTATGAAGTTATAAAATAAAATTGCATTGATTACAATTGTTTTACACGATTTAATTAACTTTAAACTTTAAATTCCAACTTCACATTACCTAATTAATGGAAATGTTTGATAACAAATGTTTTTGAATGTCTCTCCTACAAATTATTATCTCTGATTATTTATAAAAAGAAGATCATATTTTATAACAAAAGAATTTAGATATGAAGTTGTAAAATAAAATTGCAAATTGACATTATCTACGAATACAAAACAGTGATTGACTTTACCTACAGATTAGCATCATTTTGGTATTATGTGCTGCCGTGTAGCAGTAGAAAATGAGAACTAATCAAACTGAAGTTTCATATGTGTGTAGTTCACTCTGTTCTTTGGAGAGATGGCGCCACATGTTCCATTTTAGAAAAAATTCAATTAATATTGCTTTCTATTGGCTCCATTAATTTCAAATTACATCAAACTGCAAGACTAATTAATATCAGAGTATTTTGACTTTGCCAAATCATTATCAATTTTAAACAATTCTTATGCTAATTAAGATTTCTGTCTAATGTTACCTGGTTTTTCGAAGTTTCTCATTTTATTATAAAATTTGTAAATCTTCTAGGTTTGAATAAATGTAGAACTTACAATATATATTTACTTGGTCCATACGCGTTTAATGCACGATTCTTGGAACTTCGAATGGCACACTTAGCGAGTGTACATATCTTCAGTCTAAAATATTTTCCTGAAAGAAAACGTGGTGTAAATTAAATTATAATTTAACAGTGAATCGTAGCTCTTAGTTCGATATCGTTTTCTAAAATCTATTTTATTAAAAATATTTAGAGAACGATATCGGTTACCAGGTCACACCACGCGGAGGTGGCTACGACAGTGATTCACCCTATCTCCAAATCCCGACCATCCTCCAATTGCAACTACCTCATTTACCGGCAGGATAAATTTTGGCTCTACTTAGCCCATAGGCTTCCAAAAATATACAAGTTCTTTACCATAGTATAGCAAAGAACTTATATCGCACGCACGCTGTACATCTTAAAATTTAATACGCTCATGGGATCCCACGTTTGCACTCATACTTATTCTAAACCCCGCACACGTACAATCGACACCTCGACTCGATAACTGCAACGCTTGGGTCCCGACTTTGTTGCAGTTATCCAGTCTTTACTGTACTGAAAAATAAAATTATAGAAATATGGAACTCCATTGAGTGTAGTTTTACAAAATCATTGGTTTATAGTATGGAACGTCGGCTAAGAGACATTGTAGCAGCTAAAGGTGGTCCAACAAAATATTAATATTAAATAATTTAATAATACATGTAGCGTTCTTTACGTTATTGAATCTTTTTCAAATTTTACTACCATAATCTTAAGACTTCCATCTTTCTATTAACATCTACTTGTTTTAGTAAATTGCTAGAATGTACATTATTTCGGCCATTCAAGTTTGCATATGTAAGCGTTTAAATACTTTCGTGAGCTACTGTAGGTTTAAAGCATTACATTCGCATTACATTCGCAAATATGAAAAATTGAAATTTATGGATCTACAAATAACTAGCCATTTGGTGGTAGAAAGTAGGAATTAATGGAACTTGTAAGTTTTAAATATAATTTGCGTATTTATTGACTCGTATAAGAGGTTAAAATTTTTATAATGCTCTGAAGGTAGAGGTCTATTTTGAAGCAATTTCATGTATATTATCATGCTTAAGTTTATTAAAGGTAAAAATGCTATGTTTGACAAAAAAAACACAATTTACTCTTTTGAAAATTGCGTTTATGAGCGCTAGATGACACAAGTAGGACTGTTTTAGCACAATCCTTCCAAGGAAACAAATTTTAACCTTTTCCACTCGTATATCCCTATATGTAGAGTCATTAAAGCTTTAAAATTGAAATATTATTTATGTATTGTGGTCTTTTCTTTATTACAGCCATTTATTACATTATATACATATAATGGACAATATTTCTCGTATAATTAAAGTTAAAAATGTAAAGGATAAGCTTGTATTAGCAAGCTTTATTTTATTAATATTATATGAAGGTATTATATATTCTATGATCTGAAATTAAAAAATTAAAAAGAATTTAACCAAGAATCAAATCTTTCCGTAACAACAATATATTACACAATACATATATTATGATTAAAGTTATAGCAACATGTATAATTATGACTAATCATGGCACAGTTGATACATTGATTAAACTATTAAATGAATTTCATAATTTTGTTATTTTAAATAAAATATAATTATCAAAACTACTTTTTAAAATTGTATAACTCAACATAATCTCGAAAATGGAATAATTGTAAAATAAGATCATATGTTATGTGAAATAGCATATTAAGTATGTACAAGTAGGTTTGAATTAAAATTTTTAGGGACCTGGGGCCACCAAAATTTATAAAAAGCTTTTTATTGAAAAGTCTGGGCGAGGTAATAAATTCTCGTAGTAGAACGCACAATAAAATGTAAAGTACTAAAAAATTGAAATTTATTCCAAACAAAATTAAATATTTTATACTAATAAAAAATGATAATTTACAAATAAGTAAATATTTGAAGACAAACATACATTTTCACTTCGATACATTAATAAATACTTGTAACTTTTATTTTAACAATATTTCCTTACATTCTAAATTTCAATCTCGCCTAATTCTAATGAAAGTAAAACTAATTTAAAACTCAAACTGAAACAAAAATTACTTTATTATAAATTGAACCAATTAAAATTTTGTACTAAAACAAATGCACTTTTAAATTATTTGAAAAAGAAGGAGAAAGAACAAATTTTTTTTATTCAATGGGACTAAAAACGGGAAAAGTGAGGTCCCCGAAAAGTGAGGTTAGGACACCAGCTCCACCGGGCCCCATCATTCATGCAGCTCTATGTCTAAATTTATTATAAAGTGATATTAACCAGTTAAGTGTGTTTGACGACTTAATCCGTCATGTAGATGTGGCAGAATTTTGTGTCATGACGACTATATCCACCCGTCATACGTAAAATTTTGTTACAATTTGATATTTAAATTGTAATTTTGGCGAAAACAAAATTATATTCGTAAATTGTAATATGTTTAAAATGTTTAGAGGTCACTACGAAATGAAATAAACAAATAAAAAATGTAAATGATTTGAGATGGATTCATAAATTCTTGAGAGCTAACTCGTTATCGCTTGATTATCGCAACACACACTGGTGCGCGCTTTGCAAAAAGATCGCCACAGTTAACTGGTTAATTGTCTTTGAAGGTAAAAAATCAGAATTCATCGATAAATACCCTTTATTCAATCGGAGTAACATTTATACTTACTTAAAGCATGTCATTGAACTTATATATTCGTACAACTTTATCAACGGCAACAATAATAATCGTAATAATGACGAGAACATAACGACGATAGTGGTAATAATGGCAATAATAATAGCAATAAATATGATGGTAACCTTGAAGAAAAACGGGCGCTCGTTGATCGTCGATTAGCTTCGTTCACCCGGTTTTCTCGCCGCAAGTATCAATATTCGTGTTGAGCAAAAAAATAGATCTAATCACAGTGACGATGATGGTAATCATAATCGTAATGATAATGACAATGACAAGAATAATGATAACGTCGAGATTAATCGTAATCGTCGGCCGACTATCGCTATACTTTAATTTATTATTACTCTCACTACACGGTGTTTTTTCTTCTTTGGTTAAAGTATATTCCTCGTTTCTCACGGTATCTTTCGTCCTGTTCGTTGTCGAGCAGGCGAATAATTGATACCACTTTATACCATCCGTTTTCCGTGTTCTGTTTCTCTCTCCTTGTTTTATATACATTGTTTCATTCTAATGCGACGAAATGAGTTCAGTCTGCAAAATAATAAGCATTGCTTGCCGATATCATTGCCTCTTTTTGTTATCTCAAGATTTTTACTGTGCGTAGCCGGAAAGAAGTCATTTGAGTACGGTCTCGTTATCCCGCGACAATATACAGCAGTTTGCTATATAATCGGCGCGCAAATCGACGTGTATATCATGGCAATATGCAACAAGTTGAGGTATTATTTGTGGTCAAAGACGTCAGTGTTCTACGAAATGATGTACAACGCGTTGACGTAGATTGGTGAACAAGGCTTTCTTAGACCAGACGGCAATATAAGAAAAGGAAGGTTATTATTCATTCATTAATGATTCTTTAAATCGTAAATGAAATATAGGAAATTTTCATGTTTGAAAGTTCTAAAAATTACCCGCATGAGAATATGAAAATTCTAGAATTTTTGGAGGGGAGAAACGGGAATTTTTCAGGAATTTTCATGCTGAAAATTTGTAAATTTAGGAATTTGAAAATTTGGGGATATGGAAATTTAGAAATTTGAGAATTTGGGTAATTAGTAATATAGTAGTTAAAAAATTTCGTTATATGGAATTTAAAAAATTCAGGAAATAGCAAGTTAGATATTCCAAAATATAAAAGTTAGAAATTTGGCAAATCTACGGACTTGAAATTTAAAAATTTTAGAAATGTAAACATTTATAAATTTAAATAATTAAAATGTTAGAAAAATGGCATTTTCAAATTTACAATTTTAAGAAACGCAGAATTAACAAATTTTGTGGATATTTAGAAATTTGGAAATATAAAAACTTGAGGGTATAGGTTTTTTGATAAATAAAAATTTGAGAATTTGAAGATTAATAAATTTGTAGATTTGTGGAATTTGAAATTTGGAAATCTAGTGATTTTTGGAATATGGACAATTAGATATTTTAAAAATTGAAAATTTTGGGATTTTGAAGTTTAATTAGTAAGAATTTGAAAATACGGTAATCCGGAATTTTTAGAATTTTGGGAATTGGAAATTAGAATTGTTGAAGATTTAAAAATTGAGGGATGCAACAACTTGAAAATTTGAAATATAAGAAACTTAGGAAGTTAGAAATTTGTAGATTTAAAAACTTGAATATTAGGAAATTTAATTTTTATATTAAAAAATGTATCACTTTTAGAAGAGATTTAAATGTTTAGAAATTGAAAAGTTGAATATGTGGTCATGAATTTTAGAATTTAGAAATCTCATTTTTTAAGTTTAAAAATTTTGAAATTTGAAAATTTAGCAATATAATAATTTGTTAATTTCGAAGATTTGAATTTAAGTATTTACAAATTTGGTACTATAGAAAATTAGAAAGTTTAGAAGTTAGGAAAATTGATATTAGAAAATTTGAGGCTGTGAAAATCAGAAAATTTGAAAATTTACAGATTTGGAAACTTGAAAATTACAAAACTTGAAATTATTCACATTAAAAGTGTGAGTAGAAAATTTGTGTTAGGATGTTTGAAAACATGAAAATTGCGAAAGTTGCCAATTTGAAAAGGACAATAATGTGAAAATTTCAAGTTTTCACATGCAATTCCCGAACATTGTAAGCACTTTGCTTACAATTTCTTCTTTCAACACTTATTCTAGGCCAATGAAAGTCTACATGCGTGTTATACATGTCACCATTCAACACGTCGAAATGCAAAATACATACACATGGCAATGAAACCAACAGAACCCACATTTCTCCCAGGTGCCAACTTTCCAGCTCCGTGCAGTATCTCTAAATCAACCAGCATTCCACTTGCAAATTTGTTACTCGACAATGATAAATGATTATGTGGCGCAAAAACTACCAACCGCATCAGTTTCGTCGTATACTTATCGATGCCAGAGAAATGGTACCAACGCTTGATTTGCCGGGTCGACGATGCTTACGCGAAATAATTCTGCTTCGTCGAGCCAGCAACGATGAAGCGTCGAAGAGGCAGAAGATATTTCATCGTTCCGCAATGATATCGATGTTTACACCTCGTGACTAACCAAAAACGCGAACATACAACACATACGGGTGTGAATGCGATAACAAAACCGTAACAATTTGCGAATCACCGCTGCACCTTGATAAATTCATATAACGAAAGAAATGAATGCAACAATTCTCTTCGAAGCTATTGCACAAACGAACGAGTATCCTTCGTTCAGACTGACGGACGATTCACGACGACAACACGGCAGCCATTATGGTCCTCGTGTTTTATATGAAACTCGTCGATCCTCGGCTCGTCCTTTACGTCTAAAAATTCGATAAATACACCGTGTTTACCATTCACATTCTTTTTTTTCTGGGACAAAATGAGCGACCTCGAATTCACCTCTTTCGTTATGACTTCGAGGTTTCGCGGTTCCCCTCGTCGATCTCTAGCACTCGTATAATATTCGTATTTTCTCTGTGACTATTTACATATTATGGACAACATGTTGCACCGTTCGTAGACTCGTTGATAATATAAATGCGTCGGTATACTCGTCGCTAATATCCTATGTCCAGTAGTAAGAGTAGTCTGTTAGCAATAATAATAATAATCATAATCATAATCATAATGGTAATAATAATAATGATAATGACGATTGAATTAGTCCTAGAAACGATTTCGGTTGTAACAGTGACAATAGTAGTAATAATAGTATCTAGCTGTAATAAGTACGCAATAGTAATTTATAATTAAGTAGCCGTCGGTTTTAGCTAAAGCAGCATTTTAGCGGTTTCACATCATCGTAGTGTTAACGTTTAATGGCTTAACGGGTAGTAACAGTTATGCACTGGTAAGAGCGATACGTTTCGATATACATCTATCTTGTAAGCTAATCTCGTTCGTGTTCGCTTGACGTCCTGTCATATTCTTTCTTTACATGCCTTAATTATGAGTGATAACCACATTAACGCTTTTGTATATTTATATATATATAAATGTTATCTCTCCCGTCTATTTACAATTCACGATGATCGACCGGGCGATTCTCAGCCCAGGTCTCTTACAATACTTACGTAGTATAGGTTCGTTATGTACAAAATAGCTATGAGCAACATCAGTCCACACGGATCCGCGAGATCACACTGAATGGATCCTCAGAGGATACCTTAGATACCGTTGTAACATTTACTAAGAGTCTATACAGCGTGTCCAATTTCACCGACGTTGTCGGTGTTAAAAAGCACCATTCTCGCATGATACACGAGTAAATCACCCGATAATATTCGTCAAAATTAACGTCTCTTCCTCTACCTGACGAGAGGCAACGCGATTTTTGTTGACGGAGAACGTCTTCATTTTTCCTGCATCGTTTAACGACACACGAGCCGCGTTCAATGTTCGTCGCACATGTGTCCTTTCGGTAAATAACCACGTCAACCTCTTGTGTCTTATCATGGTCACGTTTCGTCACTACGATAAGTCACTGGGTAAAACGCGACCAAGTTACGTCGTATCCGATCGTCGAGCTTTAAGGATGGTCTCAGATGGGTGTCGGTAGGACCGTGAAATCCTGAAGCGCGGTTTTCACCGTCTCATAAATTGACCTGTTCCCTTCATCCGCACAGTAACCATCCGCGGTGCACAGGGTCTGTAACTTCGTTAGGTAACTGTCGAAATTTTCGTGGCCCTGTGGTCCGCCTGGGGCATTCGGTGATCGCGCGTGCTCCAACAGCGTTATCACGTTGTGACGCAGCGACTGATAGTACTCGGTCAGGTTGTTGTTTCGCTGAGCAATCGACGTTGTTTCCTACGGAAGAAACATTTCTTTTTACAAACGATCCACGGTAAAAATACACACTTGACAACATTAATACTACAGGAATTATACCTACATTACTGGCAAACGAGTATTATTGCCAGCAACTGGCAATAGATTACCCAGGTGAAACCCACTTTCATAAGTAAAGATATACAATACAAAATAAAAGGAAACGTACAATTCCACTGTACATCTTTACGACATACTGTAAAATTTACGTTATTTACATTGTGATAATGAAAACAAAACCAGGAAAAGTGGGGTTCAACTCAGATCTACGTTAGCAGCAATAGGTAGCAATCATATTTTGATACAGGACTTTCTTTACACTTGAGCTAAAACTGATTTGCATTCAGCTGAACTAAAAATGTGCATAACATTAAGAAGAAAGTTTTATAGAAATGTTTATAACAGTTTTAGCCCAAATGCAATTGCAATCTACATAGTTAGCAATCGAAAGTTTCATAATCTGCTCTATCAGCGAATGGTAATAACCGATTACCGACTGAGTATAAGCTTACTGACCTTTTCTCCTTGCTTCAGCTGGTTCTCCATGGCGGTGATATCGGAGCGCAAGCGCAGCACCTGCGATTCGACCCGAGCGTTCTCTCTCTGGAGTTCCGTAATTTCAGCCTCCAGTGTGTAGAGATCCTCGCTCTGGCCAGTGGCGGTACCGCTACTTGTGTTACCCTGACCCGTACCCACCGCACCCCCGTGAGCCAGACCACTGGTGTCCACCCCTGAAGATAGGACATACACGGTCCACTTTAACAGCCTGTCTCTGTCTCTTTTGGGAGTATTGTTTCCCGATTTCTAACAGCTTCCACCTCGAAAGCGAGTTCTCGAAACGTTCACATGCTGTTTCGTTCCAGCAGAGTTTCATCTAAATTACATTCGCATTGTAGAGAACACGACTTCGAGGGAAACCGTCAGAAGCCAAGGTCATCAACCCCAATCTTTGACCGAAGCTCGTTAAGAGCTCTGTCTATAATCGTACGTGAACGGCTCGATGTTACAAAGATAAATGTACTAGTACGTTTTTTGACAGAGGTGTGCGGGATTCATATAGAATAAAATGTGAAAATGTGGCGAGCATGTAAGTTAGCGCCAAAGGAAAGCTTCGGACAGCGATTTGGGTCGGCCCGTTGGGGGAAACGTGTCAGAGAAACAAGTGCATCGTCACTGTTTAGTTTATCGCGTTAGTCGATTGCTCGATAGACAATTCGGAATTTATCCCAAGTCGCTGCATGAGGATTTGTCTGAAATGTGGGATCGGTACGGTTCCTTCTGCGAGCGGTTCGTGCTAAAGTGATGGAAAGTATTCTCGTCAGAGACACGAGTGAAAATTTTCTATCTCGACAAGATGAGTGATTGATTAGCTTATTGATAGACGCACGAACCTGACAGGAGTGCCGCAGGAACAGAATGATCTGGGACGATGTCAGAGGGTGACTGGGGTAGCGTGAGGTGCCATCATACCAGATAGAAGAAAAAAATGGGAGACGCCGAGTGCTGGCCTTCGTATTTCATTATTATCGTATAGTGTAATCGCAAGAAGTTACCGTGAAATTTGAATTCGAACTGTGGCAACAGCTCACAGGTGTTGCCAACACTCGAGCATCGTCTCGTAAAAGTAAAATTACTGGTGTGTGGATTTTGTATGTAACACCGAAAACACATAGAAAACAAATGGCGAGTACGTCAGTCCCTTACCTTCAAAAGTAAATGTTCTCCTCAAAGCTCAATGACAGGAAAGGAGCTGATCGTGATCCCAGAATAAATCAGAATATATTATTTTTCATTATTATGACACAACTGTTGTTTTTTGTATCTTGGGTATTTTTTTTTTTACATTTCTTTTGCTTTTTATCTTTCTTTGTTCTTGCACATAACCATGTGGGAATAGGATTCCGCGGGGGCCAGATTCGTTAGTGGAAGAAGCAAAGTGACACAATGGAAGTAGAGGTGTCCGGTTCAGGTGATTTTCCTTCATTTTTTTTTCTTATTTTTTTTGTTTAGTGCTGGTCGAATGTTTCGCATCATTGAATCTCGTGGTGTGGCAAATTCGAAAACACCTGGATACCAATGTTTTAGAGAAAAGGGAGAGCGAGAACGTAACGTAACGTAACATTTAAATAGAAACGGCCAAAGAAATAACTAAATATACGGGGCAGACAAAAGAAAGGAGAAAGGAAGGACAAGGTTACCCTTGTTGGTATGACAGCACATCATTGCGTGAAGAGTAGAGTATGGCATAGCACAGGATCAAGTACAAGGTCATTATATGTACAAGTTTACAAATCAGGATTCATAATTTTGTCACGGTTTTTGCCATCGACTCGTCCACGTTGCAACAACGCATCTTGCACGATTCGCTCGGTTCAACGTTACTGTTATCGATCGAGTTCGATCCAATGGAATTCGTGAGATAATTGCACTTGAACGAGTACGACACGGAAACATAGAAAAGAATAAAAGGTACTCTCGAATGATCATGCCTACTCTACGATTTCGTTTCTATCTCGTAGGCAATCACATGTCGCACTAATCAGGTCCTAAACTCAGCGTGAATGGAGTCTCGAATTTGCTTGGACTTCGAAATCATCGTTTCGACTCGTTTCACGAAGAGCCAACCCGCGGTTTCTTATTCTTCGATTAGTAATGGTGCGCATCGATAATCGAAGACGTCAATGACACCAGAGGCAGCTTGATCCTCACCGGTGATTCCTTTGCTGTACATGCTCGACATATCCTCGAACTTGGGCTTCTTCACTGCGTGTCCGGCTATCGGACAACCGGACAGAGATCTGTGTGTGGAGAAAGAGCCATTTATATGGCCAATTCCGTCACAGCCAGGCGTGGGACAGTTGACACCTTCCAATTTCATTGCTGTTGCCGCAGCAACTGCTTTGTGCTGCTCCACCATGCCACCGGTTTCCAACACTCGCCCCTTGTTCCTGTTCGCAATGGGGCAGCCGGAAGCGCTGCAACAGGTCGTTGTGATTGCAATTAGAGACTCGTTATCTTTCGCTATCGAACTTAAGCGAATCATCGATGCAAGTAAAAAACTCATATACCTGTTTAGAATATCTCAGAACTGTCAGTGTATTTGCAAGTTTAAACATTTTGTGAATATCTCGGGTAGTTTTAAAATACTAGGGACCATTGGAGTATTTCAGATTTTTTGAGGGATTAATGTTAAATTACGGGTTATATCATTGTGTGCTAGGTTTGAATGGTTAACTTGTAGGGTATGGTAAATTTGCGCGCATTAGATTGCCACGAGTTAAATCAACAGGTGTTAGATTCCCGCGATTGGATCGCTGCACATTAGATCGCTATATTTTGTATCTTTAAGCATTATATCCCTGAGTACTGTATTCTTACGTGTTTTTATATCCCTGTTAGGTTGTGTGACAATGGTATATTATTATATATTGTATGCCTATGAGTTAAATCCAAACGTGTTGGGTTATGATACGTTGAATAACCGCACATTAAATATCGATACCTTGAATGATTACACGTTAGATTTCCATACATTAGATTACTAAGCGTTGAATTGCAATGCGTTGAGTTACTACGCGTTAGATAACCTAGCGTTGAATTTTTATGCGTTAGATTAGCATGTGTTAGATGATCACGAGTTAATTACTGAGATTTGGATTACTACGTGTTAGATTACTATATGTCAAATTACCATTCGTTACATTACCACGTATTTGATTACTATACAGTGAATTACCACGCGTTAGGTTATTATATGTTGAATTACCGTACATTGAATTATATGTTAGATTACTACGCATTAGATTACTTTGCATTCAATTATCACACGTTAAATTATCACTAGTTATATTGCCATACGTTAGATTATCACACATTGAATTACAACGCACTAGATTACCTTGCGTTCAATTACCACACCTTTAGATTACCACACGTTAAATTACTACACGTTAGATTACTATAGGTTAATTATCATGCGTTGGATTATCATGTAGTAGATTGTTATATGTATGTTGCAGTACCATTCGTTAGATTACTGCGAGTTGGATTATCACTCGTTAGTTTATTCCACGTCAAATTATTACAGATTAGATAATTTCCCGTTGAATGATTACACATTATATGATTAATCATTACATATTTCTTGACACATTTTATATCTCGCATGTTATATTATTACATATTATATATCTGTACATTATTTTTACGTGCTATGTCCATCCCTTTGTTACATTATGACGCAAGTACACCCTGATCTTTATTTAGTTACCCTACTGCAAAAACAATGGATGAATATTCGCGAAAATTGAGAAACTAACGGATTTAATAATTTATATGATAATAAATTATTTCATTACCACTTTTTTCAAATTGAACCAATTACTGATTTACAACTTTCTTATTATAAATTACAAAACTTTTTTAGATGGTTTTTATAAAAGGTATGTTGGTTTTGAGTGAACTTAAAAAATAATGTGCATATTAGTTTATATTTAATGATTTGTTTACTTCTTTTTTATACTTTACTTTTAATTTTAAATGAAGTGTCATTATTTGTCGATAGTTTCATTGTGAACTGGATGAAAATTATAAACAACGTATTATTCCTTACTGTTTTCAATTTTTTTATCGTTACAATAAAGAAGAACCGATTATTTTTCTTGTATAATACTACACACTGCTCGGTTTCAGTTTCCATTGTGGCCAGTTAAGATTTTATTGTACATGGTGGAAAGTAATTTCTGTCTTTTGTTCAGAGAAACAATTTTGTTTGTTAAGTAATGAAGCTACTATCATATTTTCACGTCACAGTAATTTTCGAATATTTTTGATATGAACCAAAGAATTTATATATAAAATGTAAGATAAGCTAGAATTTTAATATTTCGTTGCAAACCTTTAATGTTTAATAATTACACGTAATTGTTGCAATATATAAAAAATGTTTTTCAAGTATTAGAAGTGTATTCTTTGATCTATTTCATATCGTACGGTCTTTGTGGGATTTATGTTTGTGGCTTGTGGAGATAAAGGTAAATTTGAACAATTATACAATAAATATTCTTATATTATTCGAGCTCTGTACTTTGGATTATATTTTAATAAAATTTAAAGATACTTTGTATTCCTACATTATTTACACTTTTTAATAAATTACTTTTTGGAAGCTTCAAATGTCTATTCTTATCTAAAATGTCAATAGACAGTAATTCTCCAACGCCCGCGCTGGAAATGCACGCTCATAAAATCACAGAACTTCTTCCATGCTTTCAAGTAAGTTTTGGATTTTTGGTTTTAAAACATCAATTACTCTCTGCTATACTACCCTTTTCCCAACCGAATCAAAAATAGAATATTTACTTTCGTAAGTGAAAATATCCTTTCATTAATCTTGAGACGTGTCAAGAAATTCTTTGGCACAAATCAGTCTTTTTCTAATTTATTAATTTACGATTTTTTGTTGTTGTTCGTTCATTATATCCACTGTCTCTCACTACTTCACGCACAGTTTCAGCAATGATTTTCTTTCCACTTTCACGATAAACTTCCTAAGCTAATTATACAGTACTATAGTGTAGATCTTTTTAACTCGTATTAATTTTTCTTCTTCTTCCATTCAAAATTAGTGGTTGTCTCTTTTGTTTCCAAAATTCGATGCAATCTTCTTCCCTTCATTTTTTAACGATGTCTACTACACACTTCTTTGTTACTAATAACCGTGCTCTTATCAATCCCAGTATTATTTCCTGTTTGCATGTTAAATTTTAATTGTTCACACTTCAAAGTACAACTTTATACTGAAGCAGAATTATATTCCATACTTTTACATACAAATCAAACCTATCCCACAATTTGTATAGCCTCTAAGTATCGCCAGCTTGTAGAAAGTGTACCAGCGAATATTAATGAGACGTGAAAATACGACAGAATGTTAAATGATTTGTCCAACTAAATATTAAAGCAGAAAGAAATTAATGTATTTTCAATCTACAGTGAACGGTCCATTTGTCTGTATAGCTCCTCTTATGCAAAACAAGAAACGCAGAACTAGCATTGTGTACGAATATTAATGTAACTGTCGCTTCGAGTGCAAAGGGTTAAAAATCAGATTCTCTGTGATAAGCTGCCGTAAAGTCTTACCTGCGATGCGACAGGAATTTGCCGGTAGCATGACCGGACCCGTCGCAGCCGGGGATTGGACATCTGTAGCCCGAAATGCCAACACCACCATTACCATCACCATACAATCCATCCACACAGAGGTGAGCATGAAACGAGCGGAAACCGCCGGTTATTAGTCAGCGTCTTCGTCTTTGCGTTAGCAAGCAGAAGGGGTTTAGGGATACGACTTAGGGATGGGTTCACCCTTTTCGGGTTCTCAACGGATTCTGGTACGTGCAATGCGGTCAGGTAGCTGCGTGCAACGTGCGAACGCGGTGAAAACGCAAATCGAGATCGCGATTACGAGAAGCACGAGTTGCAGAGGTTGCAGAAAGACCAGAGAGTCTGTTGATTAATCCCCTTTACCCAACACAAGATCTAAACATGCTGTTTTTGTATAGTAGAGGTTCTCAATTTAATTATGCTCGTGAACGCATTTGAGGCTGGAAATGTAGCAGGATTCAATGTTTTTTAACCCCTTGACTTATAATATTGAGCCATACTCGTATATTACAGGTCAAATGCGACAAACGGCAGTTTAATCATAATTTATGCAATCATCGCTATAAAAATTTACGCGTCTCTGTTTTAATATTGTAGTAATTAGCTCTGACTGGAAGGATCATACGTTAAGGGGTTAATGACAATTTGTGTCGTATGATTATAAAAAATTAATAAATTATGAATATATCGCTGCTTGGCATTGATAGAGCTGCAATTTAAACAAACTTGATAGTTTGTGTTGAATACAAGATTTTTATTATTACAACGACATATTTATAATGAATTAATAATTATACGTAATAATAATGAGAACTGTATCTAGTATTTTTGAAAAAGTAGTTTTTAAAAGATCTCTCTTGCAAAACTTACATTTTTTGAGTTGTGCCACTGTTAATGCCAAGCAGCGATGTGATAAATACACGTGACGTATTTATTATGTATATCATTCCTTGCCATTACAATAAACAACATTTCATACATCAGCAGTTTCTGTTCATATTTATTTAAAAAAGAAGTCAATATTATTACTAGGAGAAGAGTTCTATTTTACGGTTAGAATATTATTTGTTTGTTATTTAATAAATTGCAATGATTCCGTGCAAAGAACATTTGCGTTCGAGAGCATAGGGTTGAGAACCGCTGATATATAACACAACTACTTTTAATCATTGTTTAATTTTTAAGGAATAGATGGGTAACAATATTAGAAGCTGCTTTTGTCTGAAGCTAGAAATGATGGGGTTAATATAGGATATTTTCGAAAAGTATTCATCAAAGGAGCAGGGAAAAATTTTGTGGATCGTTTTTTGGATTAAATTGTACCTATCAACAATTATAATTTTTAAAGATATTTTAACATTGATTCTTGTAGAAAAAATAGTATATTATAAGTCGTTATTTTTTGGAGAAAACATTTTTAGAGTAGTATTGGATACATTTTTTATCAACTGGACAATTTATGGACATTTGGATAAACTTGTAAATATAAAAATTCAGAAATTTAATAATTTCAAAAGTTGGGTGCATGAGAAACGTCAAGTTTACAAATTTTGAAATTTGATAACATGAAAATGTTTTAATGTAAATATAATAAAAACTTCGAAAATTTAGAAATATTACATTTCAGATCTTCATTTTGACAAGCTTTTAAAATTAGGAATAATGAAATGTGGTAATTCGATAAGTTGGAAATTTGAAAAAGTTATGGAATTTAATATTAGATTTTCAATTTTAGCAATTTGAAAGGTTAAATATTTACGAAATTCAGAAAACAGAAAACACAGTTACTACGTTTCGATATTTTTAAAATTTGTACATGTTCAGTCTACTAACTTCAAGAATTTAGAAATATAATTTTACATTTTAAGTGTACCAAATTTTAAGTTACTAAATTTTCAATTACTGAGAAATTTTGCAAGTTGCCAAACAGTTCAAAAACTGGATAATATGAGAATTTCAAAAACGCCATATTTATTTATTTAGTAATTTAAAATTTAGTAATTTGTAAAATCTAAATTACCAGGTTTCTAAAATTTCCTAAATTTAGAGCTTTGGAAGTTGGAAATTAGAAAATTTAAAAGTATTAAATCTTAAATATAGGAATTTCACGTATCTAAATTCTTAAAATATCCAAATGTATTAATTCTCAAATTTTCAAATTAAAAAGTAAAAATAATTGGAAAACTTATGAAGTTAGACATTTAGTAATTTATAAACATAGAAATTAAGGAATATTGATTTTTCAAACTTCTAAATGTTTCAGTTTCCAATTAAAAATTTTCAAGTTTAGGAATTGAAAAATCTAGAAATGTTAATTTTTTTAAATGCGTAGTTCAAATGTGAAAGTGTAGATGTGTTCAAGTATTAAAATTTCTACATTTTGATATTTATAAGTATACAAATTTATAAATTTGAAATGTTGACAATTTGCAAATTAAAATGCACAATAATGCACATATCATATATATATGGTAACTCTAAAATATACTATATGTATAATACTACAAAATACTATAAAATACTATAAAACCGGCAGTATTATATTTTATACTTTTATACTATAAAACTTATAGTATTTTATAATATTATCCAATACTACAAAATATATTATAATTTAAATACAAATTTGAAATGTACAGTTTTAATAATTTAGGCAGGTGAAAATTTCAAATTTTAAAATTACAAAATTAAATATCTATCAACATCCACTAGTGCATACCTGCACTTTCTTGGGTACATTTGTCCATCGTTCCAAATAAATAATCAACAAAATTGTTCTTTGTTCCTTCGATGAATGCGTATTTAAAAATCGAACGTATCTGATTACAAACCTGAGTGGTTCAGAATCTTGCCCGTCTCGTGGCTTGCTCTTAGGTTTATTAGCCCGTGGGCATCCGGATAAACTCCTGTGAGACGAGTAGTTTCCGGTCACGTGACCAGACCCATCGCACCCTGGCGTAGGGCACTTCAGTTCTTGCGAGTGCGCCTGAATCTGGGAGCGATCAGCCCGCGGGCAACCGGACAAGCTGCAAATAAAACAAAAGATTCTGTTTAAATCCGACCTAGCATATACCATGACGATTCAGCGCTGCTTGCAGTCAATTACAGAAAAGTTAATCATCGTCGATTGAAATTTGAAGAAGTAGCGCATCAATCCCCATGGTCAGGATTACGAACGCACACCTCAGAAACATCCAACGATGGCTTCAGCAACACATCGCATGCAATTTACGCGACGTTGCCAAGAAGTCTCGAGTACTTACGTTCGAAATCAAGTGCTAACGATTCAAAAGATCCCGATGAGACTGCAAGTTTTTCATCGAGAAATTTCAGTTAATCGAAAGAATCGCAGCTCATCGAGATCATTTTCACGGGGTGTTAAAACTATTTTCACAAGTAACAGCCTTCAGCACAATTTATTCTCAGACGACTTGCCTTGCGTCCAGTTCGAACGAAGACATTCGATAGGGGTGCTTTAAGACTCGTGTCAAGATACGTTCTCTCTTGGGGATGATCAACGATCCCATAACGGATTAATCGTTTTCTATTATCAGGTGAATAGACGCACAGTCGAAACGGGCAATCAACGATTTATATAATACATATGATAGCATGCAAATGGCAACGCCGTGTTCCAGTTGGATCACTCATGAGGTGTCGCTCGTACGATCGACCGCGTTTCAGGTTCGTGTCAATACAAGGTCAGCCTTAGTCTAGGAACACTGAAAGGGAGAGCAGGGAGCACACTCATACCTGACCCCAGTGAAACTCGTCAATTGCCAATTGTCTCTGCGTTCTAATTAAACAATCGAGCGGTGCTCTTCTCGTGATTCTCGTCGATTCGGATTCTGCTCTGACATGGTCATCGGCAACAGTTCGCTACGAAGCTGCCCACTTGAGGCTGGCGAAGCGGTTCTTAAATGGGCGGGTTCGGTGATTCATATAATGCATGTTAAATATGCGATTAGGCATATATGCGTACGGAAACGAAACTCCTCTCGAAGCACACGGTAGACGCGCGATCTTTCGTCTCGATCGCCGCCATCGTCTCAATGATTTTGCCATCCCTTTTCGTAGGGGTCGGGTCGAAACGGGGAGCAACTGGTACTTCATTCAACACGAAACTCATCTACACACTTTGATAATATATCGACAGCGCAACAAGAAGTGGGAATGGGTGTATATGTAATATAGAGGTACACAAAGAGACAGGTGGAAGAAAAAGATAGAACAAACCGTGGAATTAAAATAACAGAACTAAAATGTTACATCGTAAATAACTAGTTATACCAACGGATAGTCACACGTAATATAGATATACAACAATATCGAGATAGGTAGTACAAGACCGGTTTAGCCAGGATATGGGGGGAATGAGGGGTTGTTCTAGATAAACGTTCAGTGTCACAAAACACTTAAGAAGCCACTACGCCATGGATCCATCTATGTTTTATCACGATATCGGTGACATCGTATTGTAACCAGATGTCAACGTGTGCGACTCGACGTGTGTGATTGGGACCGAGTTTCCAAACTGGGATCAAACTACTCGAGGAATCTGCTTTTGGACCGACGTAAACGGGAAATCGGGGAACATCATGTACGCCTGTGTGTGTGTGTGTGTCTCGTGTGTGTACGTGTACGTTTTCAGCGTGCGTGCGTGCGTGCTGCATCGCTATACCAATATAATAAATATACACAATCGGATGGAGTTCGGCGAATGTTCAATGTCAGTGTCAATGTCAATGTTGCCTTGCCTTCTGTGGGTAGCGTAGTTTCCCGAGACATGACCCATGCCATCACAGGTCAATACAAGGTCAGCCTTAGTCTAGGAACACTGAAAGGGAGAGCAGGGAGCACACTCATACCTGACCCCAGTGAAACTCGTCAATTGCCAATTGTCTCTGCGTTCTAATTAAACAATCGAGCGGTGCTCTTCTCGTGATTCTCGTCGATTCGGATTCTGCTCTGACATGGTCATCGGCAACAGTTCGCTACGAAGCTGCCCACTTGAGGCTGGCGAAGCGGTTCTTAAATGGGCGGGTTCGGTGATTCATATAATGCATGTTAAATATGCGATTAGGCATATATGCGTACGGAAACGAAACTCCTCTCGAAGCACACGGTAGACGCGCGATCTTTCGTCTCGATCGCCGCCATCGTCTCAATGATTTTGCCATCCCTTTTCGTAGGGGTCGGGTCGAAACGGGGAGCAACTGGTACTTCATTCAACACGAAACTCATCTACACACTTTGATAATATATCGACAGCGCAACAAGAAGTGGGAATGGGTGTATATGTAATATAGAGGTACACAAAGAGACAGGTGGAAGAAAAAGATAGAACAAACCGTGGAATTAAAATAACAGAACTAAAATGTTACATCGTAAATAACTAGTTATACCAACGGATAGTCACACGTAATATAGATATACAACAATATCGAGATAGGTAGTACAAGACCGGTTTAGCCAGGATATGGGGGGAATGAGGGGTTGTTCTAGATAAACGTTCAGTGTCACAAAACACTTAAGAAGCCACTACGCCATGGATCCATCTATGTTTTATCACGATATCGGTGACATCGTATTGTAACCAGATGTCAACGTGTGCGACTCGACGTGTGTGATTGGGACCGAGTTTCCAAACTGGGATCAAACTACTCGAGGAATCTGCTTTTGGACCGACGTAAACGGGAAATCGGGGAACATCATGTACGCCTGTGTGTGTGTGTGTGTCTCGTGTGTGTACGTGTACGTTTTCAGCGTGCGTGCGTGCGTGCTGCATCGCTATACCAATATAATAAATATACACAATCGGATGGAGTTCGGCGAATGTTCAATGTCAGTGTCAATGTCAATGTTGCCTTGCCTTCTGTGGGTAGCGTAGTTTCCCGAGACATGACCCATGCCATCACAGGTCGACGTGGGGCACTGTATCAGCTCCTTGCCATCGCGACCACGAGGGGCGGGCCGAGACACGAAATTCAACGAGTGCCGCCTTATATTCATACTGCACCGAATAACATCAACAATAAGACACTCTGAACGCGATTGCTCGTCTCTCGTATGCCTTCACCTAATTCGATAGTCCTACTACTATGGATTTGCTGGCGACGTCGTACGATGGATGACCGATGATGAATGATTCAATGGGGACTAATTATACAGTATATGTAGTACTTGGAGTGCACTTGAGGGCAACGTAGGCTTCCTTTGAGTGAGGGTCACGGAGGGGAACAAGACTTATATTAACTAGTTTCGATTTTTGGAGGTTAAATGTGGAAACTTGAAAATCTTGTTTTTAAAGGTGAAAACTTACTGCGCTATAAATTCTAAAATTTCATTAATCTCAAAATTGCTAAATTTATAAAACTAATCTACGAATGTCCATAATTGAAATAAAAACATTTTGATTACCAAGTTTTGTTAATTCTGAAATGATGGACATTTCTAAATGTCAAAATTTTTAAATTGCTGAAACCTTATTTTGGAATGAATAAATCCATAAATCTGATACCCCACAAGTTTCCAAATTTTTAAATTTCCAAATCCAAGTACAAACGAAAGGTGCCATCTTCTTCCCACATCGCAATATTCCCTATGGAAGCCCATCGCATCCTTCAGAGCATGTACAGCTTCATCTACTCCGTTGAAAATTATCTCCCATGATTTTCTGATACCAACATTGTCCAAACGTACCGTTCAATACCCGATACAAACTAGCGACATTTTCCACGCAATCTAACTACAATCACATGTTTGTATTTAACTAAAATTAGAAGCAGATGATTGCAGTTAAAATCGCTCTAAAAAAAGTTGTTCGTACGCATCAGGTCTAAATATCGATTTATACCAGATCGGTCACTGTGCCGTCACCGTGACCGAAAAAAGACGAACATCGTTTCAACGTCCGAATGTAGATCACGGAAAATACATACGTGCGTATATAAAAAAAATGAACATAGAAGGGGAAGTCGCGTTAACGGTACAGTGACGTCATGACCTTTAATGGGCATCCAAGGTACGAATGTAGCCGCAACGCAAACGTTACAAAGCTGGATAGCAACGAAAAGTTTGATTGCGCTTTGCAACTTCTCCTTCTCGGCGAGGGGGAGGATACGGGCGTGTACGATGGTGGGCGTGTTAGCGACATATGAGAGCGAAAAAAATCCCGAAAGTTCGGCCGACTGGTGGAGAAAGAACAGGAAGAGGCGCAGCGGCAACAGCAGGAGGAGGATGAGGTCGAAGGAATATACGCGGATCAGAGCACGAGAGCTTCTGCTTTTTTCTCTCGTCTCCTGGTAGTCTCGTAGATGAACCAACTACCGTGGGCTATGAGAAGCCTCGAAAACCTCGATGACCCTTGAGTAGCCACGATATTGCCGGCAACCGAGCCGACGGATCCAGACTTGAGTGCAATTCAACGCTGCGCCTCCGGATGCTCTACCTTCCGTATTTTCCCAACCTCCGTCTAACGACTTTTCTCTACCTTCGAACAGATGATAAATCACGCTATCATGCTGTCCCTCGCTCGTTCTTCAACCATTCGTTTAACGTTAAACGGAGGTTCAGCGAGTACGAATATTATTGGTCTCGAGATTTGCTGGATGCCTACTTCTTTTTATTGGAACTTGAACATGCACTCAGAAATAGCTGTTTGAAACTCCGAATAATTTGGAGAAAGTAAATAAATTCAGAATGTGGATTTATTTAGGTCATTTAATTGAAATTTTTAGTTTGGAACTACAATTTTGTGAATCGTGGACGGTTAGCTCATTGCTCCGTCCACTCTTTAGTATATAATTGTTTCACGAATATTGACTAATATTCTAATATCTATAGAAATACATAGGAAAATATGTAGTATTAACATATTTCTGTATAGAAAAATGCAGCTTCATTAGTCGTCCATAACCAAAATTTCAGGTCATCTTGAGTTTTGATCAAATAATGCCAATAGAACTGAGAATCATGGTCCTGTATGAAAGTTTTTCTACGAAACATTTCAGTTTCGAAGGTTTACTGACGTTTATAAACTGATGTTTACAAAATGATGAAAAAGATATAAAATAATACACAATGAATTTGTTTACTTGCGTAGCTCAATTGATATCAACATAAAGAGAATATAAGATTGATAGATTTATGAAATGTCCGAAATCAGGTTTTATGTTACCCAACTTATCATTTACGTTAATACTTGAATTTTCTTTACACATTAATTAGTATTTAAGGAATATTTATTTTCCATCAAAAATTCAGATTATTACGCGACGGGTTACTTATGACACGCACTATATAAGTTAATTTCACTCTTTTCTTCAACGAATGCGATGTCTTCTCTTATACGTCATTAGATCAGATCGATTAATTATTAAGCTTGTTCGATAATTTTACCTTATTGATATTTTCGTACCAGCTCTCGTAGAAGAATCTCGGCAACATGCCGAACGTATGAAATTCCAGGAAAGGCGGAGATTAGAAAAGAGAGGAAACCAGTTTTGCCCGAGGTATCCGAGGTGCATTTCAAGGGTCTAACCTCGATGGGACGACGCGGGTCTCGCCCCATAATCCAGTGCGGTGGCAACTGATTATACCCCACCTTCACCCTCGACCTTATCCACCCTTGGCAGCTCACCGCCACCCACACCCTCATTTCACCTCTTCTCCTTATGCGCCGAACCGCGCCTTCTCCACCATACCGTCGAGCTTTACGTCAATTAGAATAAGGTTGGCACTTTCGGTACGAAGAGTAATTACTTTAATTAACAAAATGGAGGTAGGTACGCGCGATCTCCGCCTCCCCCACGCCAACTTTACTCGCTGTCGTTGCTGCCTTCGTGCCTTTTTGGCCGCGAATACGCGCATATCGCGAGAGAGATTCGCGCGACCCTTTCCGCAAGGCAAGTTCCAAATCTGCGATGCTCGCATGCACGATAACTGCACGTCGACGTTCGTCCGGCTCATTGGATACCGTGCATGGGATTCGGATCATCTAATTGTAAAATCGGCTTTGCTTGGAACGAAGGAGTACGCATAAAATGTATCTTAAGACAGTCTATTGCATCTCCAAGATTATCGTTCTAACGAGATTTCGAAATTTTTAATTACGCCGTTAAAGATTATCCCCTTGACGATCTATTTGGTACGTTCGTAAGATACTGTTCACTGACACAGTGTTAAGGAAGTTAATGAAAGTTTCATGCCGGTTTTGCATTTAGTGATTCAAATTATGGAAATTGCAAATAGACTTAAATTGAAGATTTTGTAAAAAGAAAGGTTTATCATACTTTAATGCTGAACTTGACTGCGACTGTAGCTCGTTATAGTGCAAGGGGTTAATCAGGGATAATTGTGAATTTAGCTTATACGCACTCCCAGTACAATTATCTAATAAAATTACACGAAAATGAAGTGTCAAGAAACGTCCAACTACAAATTATGAGAAAAGATTCGATGACTATTTTTTTTTAAAGACATTTTGAAGTGGTAAGTTTCCGATGAACCAGAAACGTCATATTTTTCTCGGCGATCGCGAAATTAATTTTAAAAATTAATAATTTGTGGAGTTCCTTACCTATCGTCTTTACCGGTGGGTTTATCGAGGGGTCCAACCGTGTGTTGTGGGGGTGGCATACTGTAACAGGGTGTTGGCGTGTATCCTGCCGGAATTTGATAACCAGAAGTCACAGGACCACCAGGATAAGTTCCACCACAGTTGTAGCCTGCAGTGGGGTAAGGAGTGTAAGTGTTCGCAGGATATTCTGGCTGAACACCTGTCATTCCGTATCCTGGATGAGGACTCATTGGTCCATAACCTAGAAATAAAAAATATTTTCAAAAAAACAAGTATCACAATCAAAACAAGTATCGTAACATACGGATGACGTATCATAATAAAAATAAGTATAAAACTGAGTACCATAATGAGAGATGATGTTGCGATTATAACAGATACATTCATTCCTTTTATGATAGTGTTAAAAATAATTTTTCCTTGATTCAAAATTAATAATACGCATTTGTTGTTATAACATATAAACGATGTAGTAGTAGGATTATGTTTATAATATTCAAATGGAAATTTTAATGTGAATAGAAAGAAGTATTACAAAAAAAAGAAGGAACAAAGTTGGATGTCTGTTTTAGTTTTGATTATCAAATCTGCAGCATGTATTACGTAAATTGTCATAATTTTTTAGCTACTTCCGATAATCAGATAGAAAAAATAAAAAAAATTTTCTTTTAATGTTTCCGTTTTTAATACATTTCATAAAAACCTGAGGTCTCTGATTTTTTCAAATGGTCCTACATATTTATGACTATATAGTATTGTAATAATAACAAAACTATAAGTGCAATACTTCATAATAAAATATTACATCTAATACCATACAATTAAATATGCATAATATATTGTGATGTTATGAAATTAAACATGATTAATAGACTTCAATATTAAAAAATTAAAAAGGTGCAATATATTATAGTATTATAAAATTATAATAATATTATAATTTAACTGATATTAAGATGACTTTTGTTTATTAGAATATAATCTTGGAATGATTTTAAATTCAAAAATTTTAATTAAGCACACAAGAACACCACACTTTTTCAGATGTTATGTATTTCTATGTTATTCAGGCTTTCATTGTAATATTTACAAGTCTGTGAGTTACAATAGAAAACATAGTAGCTTAATTATGAAATATAAATATAATAAATTAAAATAATTTTCCAGGATACCATTTTTTTTAGATTAAATCCATATTTCTGAATTGAAGGATAATTCAATATCATACTATAATACGTTGCATAAACAAAATTTTAGTTTTTGAAAGATCTTAATTTTTTATGACAAAAAAGTATTTACCAGAAAATTATTATAAAGCTATTCATAATCAACTTGAAACTTCTGAATTTTTATTCAAAACAATTTGCCCCAAACTACTGGAAATGATTAAAAAATCATGGCAATAGTTTACGTGTTACTTCCTGCATACATTATCATAAATCTATCGTACACAGTGCAATACTCGAATAAACCGCACATAAATATGTCGGCACCACAAAAAATGGAATAACGCAAATTCAGGTGAATGGATCTCTCTGTGAAGAACCTGTTTTTATTTCATAAAATTCCCCATGATCTCTACCCATTCACCATAACGAAGTAAATAAAGAAACGTCCCGCAGGTTCCAGAAAAAAAAGTACTGAACTAGAAGCTGGACAAAGGTTCGGGTCGCAAAGCATCAAACCGTCGCGTTGCTTGATTAACCGTTGTAAAACTGGCGCATTTATTTACCGGCAAGAATTCATTTCGTCTGGCAGTGCAAATAGCCAACGGACTAGAAGGGCCTGTGCGACGTCGCCTGAACACGACGACGTCGAGCGAACACACGGTGGATGTGTGCTCGAATGTTTCAATTTCAATAACTACTCCCCAGCGAGTCTGCACAATATTGGCCGCACCGGACTTTTGCCGGCTACGTGTACGCGAAATATTGATAATTAACAATGGTCGTGTACCGCCACAGGGTGGTGGTCCGTTAGGAAGGGTGTCGTTGCATATCCACACCGCGAAAGAGGATGAGAAGAGGGACGGAGACGAGGTGGGAGGCAGAGGTGCCGACAGGGACGAAAAGAATGGGCTATAGGTTTGGAATGCCAAAGCACAGAGAGACCGAGGAAAAAGAGAGTTGGGACCATAGGTACCTATTATGGCAGTCATGTACTGTTCTGGCGAATTTTTATTCGACGTAACCGCGTATCGCTCACTCATTCCGCGCCCCTCCCAACCTAACCCTGAGGGCGTCGAGCTTTTGTTCTTTTCCGTATCCCTCGTCCACGAACTTCCTCGTTGCATCCCCCCGTATCACCCTAAAGGCTCTCCGTTACATGCCAATGTAACGACACGATGACGCTTCCCATATATCCCAAGTATGTATACGGTAGTATCGAAATTCAAGGACAACGTGTACACAAGGTCATTAGATCAATCCAGCGTTTGATCGAGTTCCATTTCAATTTCAAATAATTTTCACGCAAATATTTTTACTGCAATAACTACTATTACTGGTACAAACAATAAAGTAATAACATGGACTTCCGATTATAACAAAATCGAATAACCATTAAATTTTACGAAAGATAGATATCATTTAGAACATAAGTCATCTGCTTAAATTGGACAGCAAACACGAATATATTCGCGATAGGAAGCTGAAAACGCTACAGTCACGGGTCATAAAGCGAATCTACGAGATGGATGATGAATTGTCTGCCAAGTTGAGCGATAAACAGTGATATCTCACCAGTGGGGTCACGGTAGGCATCCATGTAGTGGGAACCCCCGCTGTCGGGGGTGCTTTCTCGGCTGTACGCCGCGACGTGCACACCGGGTGGCGGGAACCCTGGTACAGGCCTGATTCCTGGCCCCCCGCTGAAATTGACCGGCTCATTCGCCGTCGAGAAGTCCACAGGCTCGGTTTGCTCCTCGATTGGTCTGGGCGCTGGGAATCCTGGTCCTACGGGAACCGCTACAGCTTCTCCGTGGCCGGTTGGGTACTGGGGACTTGGTGCGCCACTGTAATCAGATGAACATGATGTACGGTTTAATATCCTTCCCTTCACTTTACCCTCGTTGCATCGCCAGAAAATATTCAGGGATTAAAATGTTATAATCTCGTTTCGGATGTTTCAATCAAGGAGTATAATTGAATAAAAAACTTCTGCGTTCTAATGTTTGGCGAGGATGACCAACAACGTTTCAAATTAGTCACATACAAATTAGTCGTCAATTACCTATGAAGCCTGTTCACGCTGAGATCGAGGGTCTGTCCTTGTGGACTGGGAACCTGAGGACTTGCCGTCAGGTGGGGACTCGCTGCTGCTTGTGGACTACCACCTACAGTTTGACCACCGCCGTATTGAGGGCTAAGGCTGTTAGAGCCATATGGGGGCGCCTGTAATCATTACCGTTGCTCTTAAAAAATTACTCTCCCGGCTTGTCTTAATATTACAAGAATGATAGCTACCTGCGGGCTCGTTGACGTTACACTGGAAGTCGACAAGTCCATCACTGATCCTCCAGGCGATGTTGGAGGACCTCCTGGCTTCTGCATCTGCTGCACTTGAGCTACCGTGACACATTTCACTGAAATTATAATACACGTTTAATTCACAGCTTTAATACCAGCCACAGTCATCTTTAGTTACATATTACGTAACGCTTACCATCTTCGGTCTTCATCATCCCCGCAGCCGTAGCAGCAGCCATCGCCATCTGGTGTTGTTGAGCCGCGGCCGCAACCTCCTGATGGTACACCCGTTCTTGCTCCTCCGGGGTCATCCCAGTTTGTCCCAGATAATACATATTTGTTCTCGAATGCAACTGCTGTTGTTGCTGCTGCTGCTGTTGCTGTTGTTGCTGCTGTGACTGAATGGGTGCGCAGGCTTGCGTGTCGTATCTCTCGTAGGCTGACGTGGTACCCGGGTCGTACGGTCGATGATTAGCAGCATTGGCTACTGCGTTTTCGTAGCCTCTCGCATTCGCGATCTCGTTGGAGTAGGTTACGACAGGTCGCGCGATATTACTAGCACCAGGGTGCATGTAAGCCCTCGCATGTTCCGCAGATCTGTTCAGGGATTAAAATGTTATAATCTCGTTTCGGATGTTTCAATCAAGGAGTATAATTGAATAAAAAACTTCTGCGTTCTAATGTTTGGCGAGGATGACCAACAACGTTTCAAATTAGTCACATACAAATTAGTCGTCAATTACCTATGAAGCCTGTTCACGCTGAGATCGAGGGTCTGTCCTTGTGGACTGGGAACCTGAGGACTTGCCGTCAGGTGGGGACTCGCTGCTGCTTGTGGACTACCACCTACAGTTTGACCACCGCCGTATTGAGGGCTAAGGCTGTTAGAGCCATATGGGGGCGCCTGTAATCATTACCGTTGCTCTTAAAAAATTACTCTCCCGGCTTGTCTTAATATTACAAGAATGATAGCTACCTGCGGGCTCGTTGACGTTACACTGGAAGTCGACAAGTCCATCACTGATCCTCCAGGCGATGTTGGAGGACCTCCTGGCTTCTGCATCTGCTGCACTTGAGCTACCGTGACACATTTCACTGAAATTATAATACACGTTTAATTCACAGCTTTAATACCAGCCACAGTCATCTTTAGTTACATATTACGTAACGCTTACCATCTTCGGTCTTCATCATCCCCGCAGCCGTAGCAGCAGCCATCGCCATCTGGTGTTGTTGAGCCGCGGCCGCAACCTCCTGATGGTACACCCGTTCTTGCTCCTCCGGGGTCATCCCAGTTTGTCCCAGATAATACATATTTGTTCTCGAATGCAACTGCTGTTGTTGCTGCTGCTGCTGTTGCTGTTGTTGCTGCTGTGACTGAATGGGTGCGCAGGCTTGCGTGTCGTATCTCTCGTAGGCTGACGTGGTACCCGGGTCGTACGGTCGATGATTAGCAGCATTGGCTACTGCGTTTTCGTAGCCTCTCGCATTCGCGATCTCGTTGGAGTAGGTTACGACAGGTCGCGCGATATTACTAGCACCAGGGTGCATGTAAGCCCTCGCATGTTCCGCAGATCTGTGGTGATAAAGCTCCTCGCTGGATGTGGCCGCTGCAGCTGCCGCCGCTGCTGCTGCCATCATCGCCGAGGGCTCGTAAGGAGACCTCTGCGACATTTGGTGACTCATCCTGGTGTCTTCAACCATCGGCATCGGATAAGCGACTGTGGGCTGCATGGGCAGCACGTGGTGCGTTGGGTGCTGACTCGGGTGATGTATCGTTGCGCCGATGGACCCTCTAGATCCCATAGCGTCCATCGAGGACAACGACGAGGAGTTTGAGTCTTGATTCATGTACGAGTCGTACGTGGGTCGTACAGTAGGTGGAGGTGGTGGAGGGGGTGAGTTTACTCTACAAGAAGCTGTATCTTCCGTCTTGGGTACTAACAGGTCCGACGTGCTTTGACCCCTGCTAGACAAACTGCTGCAGCAACTGCCGCTTGTCGCCATATTCTCGGTTTTAGGGACCACTTTTGGCGTGCGGGACGAAGGGCTTTCCTCCGGAGTTTTGGGAGGTTTTATGTTGATCCCTGTACCCTTTGTCGTTGAATAGTAGTCGTAGGTCAGACTGCTTAGCACCGGTTTTGTGTCCTGTGTCGTGGATCCATACTGAGAGTAGCTCTTACTGTCCATTGATGGCGGCAACAGGTTTGTACTGATGTATTCTGGAGCTATTCCGGACACTGTTACAAAATTTATCATATATTTTGCATCGTATTACATTACGGACGAGTTTTAGTTAACACCTTTACTTCGCTGCGGAACAATTTAATGTCCATTAAAATTTGCTCCAACATGCTTGGGGGTGAGAACGCAAACTGATTTTGAAACGTAATGTTGAAGTAATTGCGGGAATAACAGTTCAAAGTGGAAACCATAAAACAAGTTTCTACGTTCAGTTTCATTTTGTTAAATTCACAAATTGGTGTTCCGGTACAGTTCAAGCATGCAGAGCACAGTTGGAGATACTCGCAAGCAGCGCATTCCACAGTCAAGTTATTGTAATAACCGCAATTTATCTGCAATTTACATGCCTGTAAATTACAATAGCTATCGACTGTTAGCGACGCGGCTCACTAGTATACCCAGCGCAAAAGCAATAAAAGCAAGGCGATCGATCTCGCGGGAGCACGCGAAAATGATTCGCGTGAAGAATTGGCACGGATCAAAAAAGCTTAAGCCCCGATCAGAAGTCATAGCGCAGTTTGACACATATGGATTTTCGTGGAGAATTCCGGGCACGTTGAGAAGGGTTGCTATGCCGCCTTACCTTGAGCCTTGTGTCGTGCCTCGCGTGCGGCTTGCTTATTGGCCGCGGCAATGGGACATCCGGACAGGCTCCTGTGCGTGCTCCGATTCGAGCTGACATGGCCACGGCCGTTGCAACCAGGCGTTGGGCATTTCAAAATAGTCTCATGCATCGCCAGAACTGCGAGAACCCAGAGACACGTCGCGTGGTTACAGAACGCTAGTCGTTCGAATTTTTCGAAATTTCCTAATACGCAAGCCAATCGTCCGACCACACATACACGCACACCAGGGACGGTAGGATTCAGATTGTATACCCGTTTAACTATGACCTCGTTGCGATCAGTATGCAACGGTATGCGTTGAGTATAATTATCATCGTGGTCACCGTCGACGAACACCGAGAGATAGGTGTTGTGTATAGTAGTATATATACAGAGAAATAGAGAGACAGGATAGAACAAAAGAGAAATTAAAGGAACAGAGACAAAGAAAGATGGGGTACACAACGTCACGGGATAAAATATACAAATAAATGTGTACAATCAAGTATACCGAGCGGGTAGAGAGAACTCAAGTAAAGACATAATCAATCGAGTGAAAAAATATAAGACAACAACTTGCGGTTTGTTTGTGTATGACGTGTATGTGTGTATGGTGAATCGTATGTTGGATACACAGTGGCTTCTACATAATTTGACTATAATACCACCATACGTGGAAATATGGATACACAATATGTATTGTGTCAAAAAATTTATCAACAAATTTCTTGCACGGAGAAAAATCTTTTAAAAAATTAATTGTTTACTAACATTTTCTACTGAAATTAATTTTGTACTAAAATTAATTTTTAACTAATGTTGTTGAGTAAAATTAATTTTAGTTTAGTAGTAGATAGTTTTTGAAGTGTATTGCTACTGCAAAAGATCCACGACCTCTCGTGTTGGAAGGAGCTAGTGTCTTAGAAGATTCGTCGACGCGCGACGAGTGCGGTTTGTTGGGGAAACCGTGAAAACCGTGTCACAGGAGCGTGTGATCGCCGTTTAATTATACTCAATCGCACAAAATCCTCCGTTCGATTCTGGTGTGTGCGCATACGCATAGTTCGGGTGGTAGCACCGCCCGTGTCTCGAGTTCTCCAGATGTTCGTAGGCACGGCCAACGTAACCAAGTTCAAGTGTGGTGATTAATTCTCTACTATAATGAACTACAAAACAGAACGGTAAATTCAAACGAAAGTGAACGCAATAAATAAAGCTCTCTACCCCGCAAACGAAAAGCACAAAGAATATAAACAGACAGACACATAGACACATATAGACGGGCACGGTTCAACGAGCCCACACTTTTATCAATTATTCGAAGCTTAAGTTACGTTGTTTTTCATTTTCCTCGGTAATTTATTTTTTCCTACCACGTGGTATTTGAAGGAATTGTGTAGATCTCTGTGCAGTCGAAGTTTTCGCGAGATCAAGCAGAGATTTCGATCAAAATTGTGTCGTAACATTCCAAGATCGTGGCCGATTAAAGGAAACGTGCTAATGTGGAAATTAAGTACACTCGCTCGTTCACTCGTCACTCCCTTGTCCCGTTGCGTGAAAAAGGCAATTTCGCAAAAAGAAGATGCATCTATTTAACTACTATAAGAAGTGAGTACGGTAGCGGTGAGTACTTACTCTCTGGCGTTAGTTTATCTTTCCTTGGACAACCAGATAAGCTGAAATCACAACATTCATGGATTAAAGATACGATTGTAAATGAGTAGACTTAAGAAATATTTTTAACATATTGAAATGCAGAGAATCTAAAGGTAACTCTTTGAGAATCTTTTGGTACAATTAAAATTTATAGAGATATAAACCGCTTTGTGTGAAATTTTAATAGTGTTAAGTGGCAAAAATCTAGGATATATTGGTTACACAATATTATTGAAATTGTGAATGAAATATTTTTTGTGCTTTCATAATTAAAAATTATATTTGGGGCACACATTTAAATCAGAAACTGCATATTATATAAAACGTTGGAAAAATAAATTTGTTTGAAAATGAAATCAATATTGTTATCTAGTCTGTATTGGTTTATTTGCAGTAAAATTCATAGAAGAAAGCTATTTATATCTAAAACAATTCTACAACAACGATTCTAGTTCTACGATAATTTGCGAAGTTTTAGTATGAAGTTTACGTTTGTAAATTAAAAACGTATTGAAAAGTGACTTAAAATATAAAGAAACGAAGCAATTGTTTGTTTTTCTATCAAAATAGTATATACACATTGAATAATAAAGTTACGCGATAAATTATACTATGAAGCAATGAGATTGTGCTGTTATACTGCGCTTGATTATGTTCACAAACATTCCATATCTAATATTATAATATATCCAAAATTAAATTCTTTTGTCAAAGGTATGGAAAATTTTTTATCTGTAACGTTTCAACAGTGATATTTCTCTGGAATTCATAATACATTCTGTTTAATTATATTAGTTTTGTTTGAACTGAATAAAAAATGAGACAGAACCAACCGTGCTTATTATTATTCTTGCACTTTTAATTCTTGTATAATTATTACAAAGCTATTCAAACCATATTAAATTCTTGTAAAATATTTTTAAAATCATACTAACTTTATTATTGATATAAATTTTACAATAGATTTTTATTATTATTAATTTATCAACAATTTTTCGGTGCATTATTTTCATTATGCATTATACATTATTTACATTACAAAAGTTTTTACCGCAAATTTTATTTTTTGATTATAAAGTAGTCAATTATTGTGATTATATAATGAGTGAAATTGATAAAGAAAATTGTATTGAAAAATGATATAAAATTTTCCTATACTTTTGATAGCAAATTAAGTCGTACGTAAAAATGATCGGATTTGCTCTCATGTCGGTGACACTGTTCTCCATCAACCTGTCGTATCAACTGGCCGTTTAATTGACCAGGGCAAAGTGCAGAGCACAGCTTAATTACCGATAATTGCTTACCTGCGGTGGTGAGAGTAGAGTCCGGTCACGTGACCTTGCCCCGTGCACCCTGGGGTTGGGCACTTGTTGCCCTCTGTAACAAATTAAACCACGGCAAACGGTCAGCTTTTGTACTATCTGTCATCATTACATAGAACATGTACATTGTCATAAACTCAATATTTCGGAAAGATTCCTCAGAACAAATTTTCCATAGGATTAAATACTTTAATTTACAGGGTAAATTGGTTAACTTTGCTTTTGGAATTTTAATAAATTTTAGTAATAAAGCATTTGACAGTTTTAACATTTTATATTTAAAATAAATTGCTCTTATATTAATTGTTGATAGAGATATTTAATAATAAACCACGGAATAGAAGTATCGGTAATTTAATTAAAAACGATACGATTATATATGTAAATAATGATTTTTACATTCTAACAATAAATATTTATAGGTAAAAATATTATCCATCATATACATTATTTATACCAAATAAAATCTTATAATTTACAATAAAAATTCATAATTTATAATAAAAATACTACGTATACTATACATTTCATCGTTATCGTCAATACAAAAATTCCAACAATCAGAATAATTACCAGTAAAAGTTAATCGGCATAATTCCAATTAATCGACCGTTTCAAATCAATTGTATTGTAGCTCTTAATTAATATCGGCTATTAGCACCACGTAATTGTAACAAGAAGTGTAACTCGTTCCTCCTACCGACCAATCCCGTTGAATTTCGAGATCGCTGCAAGCACGTTTGATTGTGGATAAATTGTGCGTTCACACCGTCGGAATATTGGCTGAAATAGCGACCAAAGCGTGACAATGTTACGGTAGATGGAAAATATTGTTCCAGTGCTTGCGTTTTGTAATGCGGAGACAGTGGATTTGCATTCAGATGTTCACTTTCGCTCTGGCTGTCGAATGAGTCCGTAGAATCAATATTTTATGTGGAGACAGAATGGTAACGGTGCACAGTAACCGTGCACATGAAAAATGGAGTTTCCTCTCGATATTTGCGCCGCGATAATTTCTCTATTATTAAAAACACGTTGGTATTACGAAAATCTTTCAACCTCAATACCACGTGTACATTGAGCATCGAATAATCATTTTTGTTACAATTATATTGGCAATTGTAACTGTTAAGGTGGTCTGTAATTTATTAGGTATGGAAATAAATTGTTGTTGAATATGTGACGCGTACTTATTACATGCATGACGATATAACGCGTGGTAATTTCTCACATAGTGATTTAATAGATGGCGATACAATGTATGGCGATATAATATGTAGTAATACCAACCAAAGTGATTTAATAAGTGGTAATACAACGCGTGGTAATATGACACGTGACAATTCCACGTTTGGTGATTTAGTAAAAAGCAATACAATATGTGACGAAATAAAACGTAACAATCCCGCGTTTGGTGATACAACGTGTGGCGATATAGCACGTGGCAACGCATGGCAATTGACACGTACCGACAAGAAATGATTAAATTTGAAAATTTGAAACTTATAATGTTTATACACTTTTCTTAAATTTAAAAAATGGATAATTTTGAGATCTGTAATTTTTTTTTTAAATTGAAAAATTTATGGGTTTATAAATTTTGACGTCTCAACGCTTTTGAGCTTTTGTATTTTCAAATTTGAAAATGTTAAAAAATGTACAATTAAAAATTTGAAAATCGGAAAATTTGTATGAATTATTAACGTAGTTTGTAAACTATTACACGTCCAAATAAATTTACAAAACGTCTGATAACCTATTTGTTAAAAATTAATTGAACAATTAATTAAACAATTTTTAAAAGAGGTTATAAGACCTTCATTAAACGACATATAATTTTTTACGAAAAACGATGTAATAACATTTCATCTGTAATTCATTTAAGCAAAATACAAATCCCAGCAAATTTTCTAAAACGAAACGAGATCATTAAAACTGGAATTCTCCCATGCGACAAGAGCAGAAAAATGTAGGGAATAGTAAAAAGCTCGACGGCGGATATTCTTTCAGAATAGCAGCGGCAGCAGATGGAATTGAATGAAAATTAACTATCGAATGGATGACAACTGCTATATCCGACATGGTATACTTCCAGCACGCCATATAGATCGCAAGGTATTTCTAGTTTGCCAATATCCATGAGCATTTTATACGTCCCTTGGTCTGATCGTTGAACTTATAGGCAAATAAACGGATTGTTTATTGTTTGATATTGATGCAATTTAAATTTATGTCCGATCATCCTTTCAGTAATAAACAGAACTTTATGGAGATTAAATGAAAATTATGTTTCATACTTTAGGATAATTAGGTAAAGAAATTAGTAAAAAGAAAAATATCTGACCTCTACAACGTTCCACTTACGGAGGTTAAATTGTTTTAAGGTTATGTTTTAAAGTTAGTTTAGATTAGCAATAAATAGGAAATTTAAGAAAATAGTGTTACTAAATTATCATTAAGGTGTCGTTTGGTGATAATTTTTAATAATTCAGGGTTGCTTTATATTGTTTAATGTATATCTATATGAAATCACTAAGTGAAGCTATGAAGCATAAAATCACTAAATAAAACTATTAAGTACGAAATCAGTAAATAAATTTATTAAGTACAAAGTCACTAAATGAAATTATTAGGTACGAAATCACTAAATAAAATTACTAAATGAAATTAATAAATACAAAATCACTGAATGAAATAATTAAGTAAGAAATCAAATTAAATAAGTACCTCTCAATAATGTAAAGGTAAATGTTCTTTCAGGTCGTTCACTGTTTAAGTAGTATGAGATGATATAACATTTTAAAGCGTTAATTAGAAGGTCTAAATGAAAACGGACAAGCTGTGGCCTAATGTGGCCTAGTGTGGATCTTGTCGCGCAAGTTACGCATTTGCGAGTAACCACTGGGATTTCTCTGTCCCATACCTAAGCCCCAGGGATTAACACTGTGTATACATTCAACCTAAAACCTGGTTATTCGTGAAACGAGCACGGCCGCTTCATTACCGTTTTATCAGAGAATGAGGGTGTCAATCTCCTAAATGACAGCTTTGCATACTAAAAACATCGGTGACATCATAAAAAGGCCATAAAAGTTAAATTCACGATTAATCCTTTAAGTCTTTAGTCTGAATGTATTTGTGTATATAATTATTTCCACTACACAAAATTATTTTAATGAGTATATTTGACATTAGAAAAACTATCCTTTTCAAAACAAGCATGCTTGACATTAAATAAGAAATTGCTATTTCTTCATGACAAATATATTATAATTTAACATCGAGAAAATTAAATTCATTTATTAAAAAAATTGTCATATGTTCATTACATTTGTCAGTAGACAAGAACATTTTATATACGCAAGAAGCTTATGTTTTCATGACAAATATACTCGTCATTAAACAAAACATTTCAACCTTTTACCCTTTCTGCTACTATACAACGAAGGGGTTAAATTAATTGATTAAAATTATAGCATTGTCGAAAGAACTGCCAGAAATGACCAGACAACCGTACACAAAACACGCCACATGTTTAATTGAACATCGAATGACCCTAAGTGTCCAGCAGCAGCGTGCCAACGATAAAACTCGTGTTCAGAAACTTTCTCTACACTCTTTTCAGCACTTTTCCCCCTTGATTCTCGCCGTTCTTGCGGCTGTCACGAAATTGCATCGAGGCATGCTTCGAGCAACCTGTACCATCTGTCGTGTACTGGCTGTAACTTAATGGCTGGTATGGTGTACGTCACGTATAATCGTGCTCGTGTTCGTGTTCTCAGGGTGACCTCGCGTGACCAGACAATTACGGGTTTCCAGTACGCTCTATACAGTCCATAAGTATCAATCGCTTAGGATGAGATCACCTATTCGGATACTTTGTTCTTAATGTTGATGTTGGTTTTTACAATAATAAAAATTGCTATTGTGCTGCTAATCAGATGATAGGCGTATTGGAATTTTACCTAAGCTGTTCAAAAATCTTTTAGTGGAGTTTATGTCTTGATGGAAGTAAGTTGTAGAGAATAAATAATTCAAAGACAATTTTACGTGAAGTAACAATTTCAACTAAAGCCTCATCTATAATTTTCAAATCACTGAACTGTTCATTATTTTAATTACCCAAATAAATTTTTAAACCACCAAAAATTAATTTTAAAAAATAACTCCTGATTTATGAATGTCTTAATTTCACTCTAAATAGGCCTATTTCGATAAAGCTATAATACTATGTACAAACAGAAACGAAGGTTAACTCTGTATGGACATTCGATCGAACCCGTTCAGCCACCCTGATTCGTCGACGTAATCCGTTCCATACGAGTTTAACGGGATCAGAACCTCTATCTTACGTATTAACTCATTTCGTTCCCTGGTTTGGGGTCAATTCGACGTTTCTTAACGCGAAAAGCTCTGACGGGGCATAGGTACGTTCGTCACGTGTGTTGGAGGGGTTCGGAAAGGGATTCCGAAGGAGCCTTAAGGGGAGGCCAGCTTTGGGTTAGTTGCGGGTTTTTCCCTTGGAGTGAGCGCACTTTTATAAACTTTGTCGTGTACTAATCCTCCGTCGGTCCAGATCCCCCTAGCCAACTACACCCGAGCCACAAAATGGCCGTCATGATGTCGAGAAACTTCATCAGCCCGTCATTTCGCGTACCAACGAGAAAGAGTCAGAGGGGGAGCAAGTCGATCCCCGTTTAAATGTCTCGTGTCTCGTCTGGTCCAGCTTCCTGGTAAATTGGATTACGATACGTGACGTCATTAGCGACATACTTTATTCGAAGCGAAAAACCTGGTCAGTTATTAGTAGAATGAAAAATGTAAAAATCTACCTTTTGAATCGCGAACTGGGTTTCGTCCTTTGAAGGAATGATTGGCTTTTATTACACACAGGCACTACGTGGACATGATACATTCTTTTTATGAGTTATATTCTCAAATTGGATATCGTAGGCAGAGTTATTTCTGTAATTAATTAGTATTTTATTGTGGAACCAGGTTACTGTCTTCTGACAGTTTTATACCGTTTTGTTAGATGCTTTAATTTCGAAGTTA